AATATACATAAATCTTTGCAACATCTTTGTTTATCTAACTATTCTTGATAGATAGTCATGGTTTGAAACATCGAATGTTTACACCATCAGATTGCAAAGATGTAGAAATAGAATACCAGTGTTTGTGTTGAGTGTTCACTTCCTTTTTGCAGAATGTTGGGGACATAAAAGTTAATTATTTTCATATTTTTCTTACTTTTCTAATTATTTCCCAGTTGAATTAAGTTCTTCTTTTTCCAGGTTTGCGATATTATCCTGGATAAAAGATGCCGCTCCTTCCATCTGTAAACTGTACAGGTCAACAAACAACTAATCTATATAAAAAAGATCTCCATGGGTTCCCGGGGGGTAACATATACTAAAAACTAGATTTTTTTTGTTTTTAAAAAGCTAGATTTACAAATCTTTAAAACAGAAACTAGGGACCCATAAAAAAGTGGAATAGGATGACTACTGTTAGACTAAAAGAATGATTTCAAATTGTAAAGTGCAGACCCATTTTATTTCATTAGTAGATGTTCAAGCTACTTGCAAACTCTCTGCTTTTGACAACATCAAATACACAAAAGATTGCTGAAATGTCGTCTTCCTATTTTTATTTTTATGGTTTCCACTGTATACTGAAGAAAATAGAAACCTTTATCGTTAAATTAACATAAGATTGCCGATCTAACTACGATTAAATTAACATAAGATTGCCGACCTAACTACAGTTAAATTAACATAAGATTGCCGACCTAACTACGATTAAATTAACATAAGATTGCTGACCTAACTACAGTTAAATTAACATAAGATTGCCGACGTAACTACAGTTAAATTAACATAAGATTGCCGACCTAACTACAGTTTGAATATAAGATTGCCGACCTAACTACGGTTAAATTAACATAAGATTGCCAACCTAACTACAGTTAAATTAACATAAGATTGCCGACATAACTACAGTTAAATTAACATATGATTGCCGACCTAACTACAGTTTGAACATAAGATTGCCGACCTAACTACGGTTAAATTAACATAAGATTGCCGACCTATTTACAGTTAAATTAACATAAGATTGCCGACCTAACTACAGTTAAATTAACATAAGATTGCCGACCTAACTACGGTTAAATTAACATAAGATTGCCGACCTAACTTCAGNGGAGAATGTTTAATCTATTGTTTATGTTTGGAGAATGTTTAATCTATTGTTTATGTTTGGAGAATGTTTAATCTATTGTTTATGTTTGGAGAATGTTTAATCTATTGTTTATGTTTGGAGAATGTTTAATCTATTGTTTATGTTTGGAGAATGTTTAATCTATTGTTTATGTTTGGAGAATGTTTAATCTATTGTTTATGTTTGGAGAATGTTTAATCTATTGTTTATGTTTGGAGAATGTTTAATCTATTGTTTATGTTTGGAGAATGTTTAATCTATTGTTTATGTTTGGAGAATGTTTAATCTATTGTTTATGTTTGGAGAATGTTTAATCTATTGTTTATGTTTGGAGAATGTTTAATCTATTGTTTATGTTTGGAGAATGTTTAATCTATTGTTTATGTTTGGAGAATGTTTAATCTATTGTTTATGTTTGGAGAATGTTTAATCTATTGTTTATGTTTGGAGAATGTTTAATCTATTGTTTATGTTTGGAGAATGTTTAATCTATTGTTTATGTTTGGAGAATGTTTAATCTATTGTTTATGTTTGGAGAATGTTTAATCTATTGTTTATGTTTGGAGAATGTTTAATCTATTGTTTATGTTTGGAGAATGTTTAATCTATTGTTTATGTTTGGAGAATGTTTAATCTATTGTTTATGTTTGGAGAATGTTTAATCTATTGTTTATGTTTGGAGAATGTTTAATCTATTGTTTATGTTTGGAGAATGTTTAATCTATTGTTTATGTTTGGAGAATGTTTAATCTATTGTTTATGTTTGGAGAATGTTTAATCTATTGTTTATGTTTGGAGAATGTTTAATCTATTGTTAATGTTTGGAGAATGTTTAATCTATTGTTTATGTTGTTTTATTGTGCTAGGACTATGTGGAGGGGCTAGCTGGTCTAAACTAGAATTTACTGGATTAGAAACTCATAATGTTTCCCGCCTACTAATCACTATAGGGATATTCACAGATATTAGTAAACATTCTCTTATTATTATTATTATTATTATTATTATCTGTAATTTTGTTACAACTTTAAACATCATTTTTTGCTTTACAGTGTTTGATAGATTCCAGAGACTCGTTTCATCCTGATTTTATCTTAAGGAACCAGTGGTAACTTTTGTTGACTTTTTGTACTTGATTTATATTATAGATCGTACTTTTTTGGCTAATTTTGTATGCTGAAATTTGTTCAACAATGGTTTCCTTGAATTCCAACGTATGAGAACAAAAAGATTTTCTGTATTGTGTAGAAAGATATTTAGCCAGATATAAGATATGGATCCCTGGATCCTTGTAGGTTTATGTGTCCACTGTCCAGATCCTGATTTAGGCAACCAAACTTACACTGATTCGTCGGAGCCAGTAGTGTACATTTGCTTGAAAAATCATAACTACCCCATTCCTTTGAAAATCATGTTTCCGCAGAAAGGTTAATTCACCCCCCCCTTCCCTCTTCCCCCCTCTCCTAATTAATTTCAAATCATCCCCCCCCCATATACAACCCTGTTCGGATCTGTGTTAGCTGAAGATTATGATGTGAATATAAACTAGGAGAACTGCTTCACACTGGAAAGAATATCCTGGGATGGGATCAGCTTGCTGCGGATTATCTAGAACTGGTTTTATTTACTGCTAGCTCAGGGAGGCAGGTCCTACAGGCAACCTGCTTACACAGCATCAGGTTAAGATATATTTTTGTTCTCTTAAACTGGTTTGGAATGAGACGAGTTATTTGGTTCGTCAAACCACAAAGTCGAATACAAAGTAAAACTCGAAAGGTGGAGCCAGAATGCGGGGCTCGAAGCTTGTGTATAGGAGGGTTGGGAGCCTGTTTTGCTGGACTCGAAGGTCATTTTGTAAATTGGCTTGTACACACTTTGGCGGGTTGAAATCCCATGAATTGACTCCAATTTATAAGACATACATGTGGAACTGTGCATACTGTGCAGTACACAGTGTCATTAAGCACTGGTCTCAATGTTTTATAACTCGCTGAAATGTTTTAACGCTTGTTGAAATGTTTTATCGCTTATTGAAATATTTTTCACTTGTTAAAAATGTTTTTCACTTGTTGAAATGTTTTATCACTTATTGAAATGATTGATAACTTTAAAATGTTTTATCATTTACTGAAACTTTAATATTTTCTAGTTTGGTTCTAGCTCTGGTGGAGCCCTACATGGTTCCTGGTCTGGAGGAGGTACTGGATAGGGTTGGAACCTGGCTAGGTTCTAGAACAGGAGAACTAGAAGAACAGGGAGGTAAAACCCTCCTGGGTTTACTCCTGCTCCGACAAGAGGCCAGGAAACAGGAGATATCCCACCAACTGTCAGGAGTCAGCACCATCTCGTTAAAAACACCAGCTGTGAAAATATCATTTTGAGAAAGTAAAGAAACTGAAGTTTCTGATAATATTGAAACTTAAGTTTTCTAAAATATTGAAACTTAAGTTTCATAAAGTATTAAAACTAAAGTTTGAAAGAATATAGAAACTAAAGTTTCAGAAAAATGGACGAATTTGATGAGGTTGAGAATGAAGTTCCTTTGTATAAAAGGGTAGTAAAGAAGACTGGAGGTAAAGGACGGAGTAAACCTTCTCACTTTGGGTTTACCAGTTCAGGTATCATCTAATATTCTCAAGCCTTAAAGGGACTATTTTTGAATATAAAATGACTTTCTTAAATTGTGGAATGCCCTTTTCACAATGGAACCCTTTGATCTTTTATCTTATTAATGATGTATAGATATAGTTGTTTTACTATCTTGAATAATATTCAGTTCGGAAATCTAAATTCACTTTTACAGAGAAACCATGTTAAATTAACCAAATTTCTTAGTTAAAAACATGGATATCATGCCTCTCTATAAATTCAGGGTCACTTGAAATTATTTCTACAATCCCTTTAAGTAATTTTTATCAGATAATTGATTTTTCTCTTCATTATAATATGACAAATATCCGCCATTTTCTTGCTCGTCTCTCTTTTAGAAACCACGAGTTTCTTACATGGGTCAATATAATTCCATTTCTGATCCCAAATGAGATCGGGGTTGAAAGTACATTTAGGGGCATGAAAAGTACACTTATATGTCATGTGCACTTTGACAAGTTTTTGTGTACGTGTACTACAAGAAAATATTTTGAAAAAAGTGGAAACTTTGTTTAAGTTTAACAGATGTGTTTTTAAAGACAGTTAAGCAAAATTCAGACCTTCAATTGGGCGTTGGTGTATTCTGGTTCAAAAATTTGACCTTAACATAAGTTTTCTCTTAGATGATGATGAAACCCACGTGTCTAAAACTGATTCCTCTGTAAATATTACTCCACCGCCGCCGAGCTCCCCGGAATCCAGGTAAAAAAGAATAAAAAATAAACATTGAAACCACCGGCTCCCCCTCCCTCCCTCTCCTTCGACATTTTCATACCCTGAAGTTCTGCCGTGCTCTTTCGTCGAACCTTTAAATCTAAATTTTTGACGTCTGGTTATTTTGCCAAACTGCATACTTTCAGAAAGAAAAATTAATATTTTTAACTGTTTTTAAGTCGGCAAGATTTATCTTCTCTCCCGGCTGTGTATTGTAGGTAAGGGATGGGGTGGGCCGGAGGGGTCACCTTGGTCCTCTGTCGGTGGTCTGGTGGGTCCATTCTTATTATTTGCTCCTTTTGTTCAGAAAACAAGTGAGGAAAGATGTTCTAGCGACAATTAACAGTGCATTGAATCCTAAAAGAAAGTTTGAAAATACAGAAGAAGGAAAAAGTATGAAAAGGAAACCTGAAATAGAAACGCAGGTGAAGGAGACCTCCAGGAGGGCTCCTAAGGAGCAGGTTGTCAAGCCAAGCAAGGAGTTGAAGGAGCTGGAGAGGATTATAAATAAACAAACAGATAAAACTGAAGTTAACAAGTATATTCTGGTCGTCATTGATCCTGCTTTAGTGTCCAGTCCTCCAGGTTAACACCTAAATTTTTATAAAGATGTTCCCGGTGCGTTTTCTCCAAAATTCAATTACTTTCTTTAATTTAGGGAATAAATTTATTAAAAAAACATTTCGGAGGAAAAAAATAATTTTCAAAGAGGGGGGGGGACACAGGGTATGATTCTTAAAGAAAATATTTGTTTTTTTTTCTAGGATCAGAAATCCTTAATATTCTCAACAATCCCCCTTCAGGGAAACCAGAGCACATTTTCCAGTTTAGGTGACAGTAAATCATTTTTATTTTTAATCTACATCTAAATTATTGTATTTCATTGGTTTGTATTGTCTCTTGGCATATTTGACGTACCCATTGAATCCTAAAAAACATTCAAGTCGGATATGATTCACAAACGTGGTGAGGAGCTTAACCCTGGAGCTCAACGTAACATAGCCTACAAGACATAATACATTGACATTAGGTTTAATGATAATAAAAAATGTATTATTTTTACAATACTTTAACATTTTGTTACAACAGCCGCATATTCTTGGACTGAGCAAAGGAATATATGAGAAACTACCATGTAGCTTCGTTTACAAATAAAGTACTGCATGATGTCTATGAAATGTAAACAGAGCTCAGAGTCCAAACTTTAAAACATGGTATCTGAGTTTTGTTTACATTCCTCCCATAATTCCAGTACATTCAATTTGTAAACAAAGCTATTGGAGTTCCTAGTGGTTCTTTACCAACTAAAATGATTGTGAGAAAATCTAAAATGATTATAATCAGTAAATAAAATAGTTTGTTTGTGTAGTGTAGAAAATCTAAAATGATTATAATCAGTAAATAAAATAGTTTGTTTGTGTAGTGTAGAAAATCTAAAATGATTATAATCAGTAAATAAAATAGTTTGTTTGTGTAGTGTAGAAAATCTAAAATGATTATAATCAGTAAATAAAATAGTTTGTTTGTGTAGTGTAGAAAATCTAAAATGATTATAATCAGTAAANGGGGGGGGATAATTTTATGATTTCTAGTGAATTTTGAGATTTTTGTTTTCAGTCAGTTTCTGAATCCAAATTGTATGATTAAGTTGGAGGCGGAATAAGTGAGACCTGGATTGATGAAAGGCGGACACTTGTATTTGTATCCGCCGAAGAAGTGGCGGAGAAGATTACTAATGGATTATTTTCTACCTGGGCGGAGAGCATCAAGTACATATTTTCTTATTAAAGGGACTGGATACGTAATTGCTAGAGTGACCCTTAATTAAAAAAGATGTATATCTGATCTATAAAAGTACCCTCAAAACCTTTCTCTAATCGGTGGTGCATAACATAGTTTTTTAACTGAAAATTGAGTTTCAAGTTTAAAAATTATTAGTGGATTTGTGCAGCAAATCCATCTAGCAAATTTTTTAAATTCAACAGAAGTATAGGAAAAGGAAGATAGCACCCTTATTGTTTATCAAATAAAGGTTTTAAGTGTATGGTTGTGAATTTGAAGGTCACTTGAGATTAGGTCTACAGTCTCTTAAATTAAAAACCTGCTTTAAATATTTAAAAAATAATTAAATTTCTTTTTGTAATGGGTAAAAAGTGAAATGGTCTTAAGAATTTAAATTTTAATTTGTTTTTCTAATTATTTTGATTTATAAATTTATCTCTCTATAGTTTTATAATTTTGACATGTTAGCCTTAAATTATAATTTTGTATTATTTAATAATAATAATCTGAATCCGGATAAAAATGCGGATTCGGATCCAGGGTCCTGGATCTGCATCCTTGTGAACATGGTTTGTATATAGGTTTGAATATGGAAGAGGGCATAATCTGACACTAATGGTGTACAACTATGCCACATATTTTAAAACGGATAAAAATGCACAGGTCAGTTATTTTGCATTTTACAACCAGTGGTCATAACTTTTGAAGGAATTAACCATCGTATCAAGTTCTTTATTAATTTTGACGTTTGTTCCAGAATTTTCGTTTCTTCAGGAGAGAATGCGTAAAGCTGCCGTTAGAGGTGAAAACGTGAATCCAAGGGAACAAAATTACTTTTATTCTAAACTTTAATTTGAAATACTAGTCCTATCTTTTGATGCATTTCTAGTAACAATTTTAGTTTTTAATGTTGCAATTTCTTCTAAATACTTTTTGCTAAACTTTTTGCTTTCATTGATGATTTTCCAAAAAAATCAGGTATTCATTTTTTCTATTTAAAAAATTCAAGGCTAAACTGAATTCGTTGCTGAAGAAAGTTAAGTTTTTTTGTCAAGATGTAAAAAAGTTGAAATGTTTAAAAAGGGATGCAGTCCATAATTGCATTATCACTGAATATAAAATGCAGAAAGCTTTGCTGATGCTATCAATCAATCAAACAATGGATTATCTAACATTTGACCGAGCTACTGATAAGTAAGTTGATAAGTAAGTGTTTATTAAAAATTATTTAATTCCTTTTTGTCATTTAAAAAATAAAATTCTATTTTTTTCTTTTGTTTCCTTATTAGGCCACAATTACATATGATATGTATGTGGGACATTTGCAAGTTTTTTTCCCCAAAATCCGACACAAACTGTTTTTTTTTGTGTTGATTAGAGGATGGAAAGAGTGTGCTTGCAATGTATTCCATCAGACCAGAGCAGTGGCTGAAGCACCAGAAAAACTTAAGAAAAGTGTTTCAAGCTCAGCAAGTACATACTTTTAATAATTCTTCCCCCTTTCCCTTCAGTTATCAGCAAGTACATACTTTTAATAATTCTTCCCCCTTTCCCTTCAGTTATCAGCAAGTACATACTTTTAATAATTCCTCCCCCCTCCCCTTCAGTTATCAGCAAGTACATACTTTTAATAATTCCTCCCCCTCCCTTCAGTTATCAGCAAGTACATACTTTTAATAACTCCTCCCCCTCCCCCTTCAGTTATCAGCAAGTACATACTTTTAATAATTCCTCCCCCCTCCCCTTCAGTTATCAGCACCCCTGCTAATTTCAGGGCTTTTTATTGCTTATGAATCTAATCTGTAACTTAAGTTTATTTTGATTATGAATTAAATTAAAATGTAGTAAGTTAAATTCTAATTATTAAAAATAAATGTTTGCAACCCTACCCCACCTATTATCTGAACTATTTAACTTGTTTCACGATGTTAACAATTTTATTTTTGTACCAACCTAAAAAAGTTTTATGAAGAATTCTTTTTTTGCCTACTGGGATAAAATGTAAGCAGTTATTTCATAAATTAAGGCTTTTTGTCAACTGCCTAATTTAAGCAATACTAAAGAAGAAAGTATGAAAGTAAAAAATTTTTGTTTTGAATTAAAAAGTCTGAAATATTTCTAATTTTTTAGGTTTTGAGTTTTATGCTAAAGCTGAGGGAAAAGATTGCATTTCTCCCAAAAATCTTGTGGAGTACTGGAAACAAGTCCTTATGCAGGTTTTATATTAACTTTACACAGATCGCCCTTAGAAATAATTTAAGTAGACATAAAAATTAATTTATAATAATTTTATAAATCATACACTTATATCTCTGTATGTGATGGGGACGCACATCATTAGATTCACACAATTGTCTACACATTTAATTGGACGCATATTTGGGGACGGATTTTCGTGAAGGATCAAAAAAGAAACCATGTCGTAAAATAAGCAAAGTACATTTCTTACAAATTGACCTTTTTCAAGGTTACCATCATATCTTTGGAGAAAGCTTCAGCTATAACCCGTGTTTATCCTTCTCCCTCCAGTCTTATTCAAGCATACAGGTAGATTAATATTCAAGTGTACAGGTAGATTGATATTCAAGTATACAGGTAGATTAATATTCAAGAATACAGGTAGATTCAAGTATACAGGTAGATTGATATTCTAGTATACAGGTAGATTAATATTCAAGTATGCATGTAGATTAATATTCAAGTATACAGGTAGATTAATATTCAAGTGTACAGGTAGATTGATATTCAAGTATGCAGGTAGATTAATATTCAAGAATACAGGTAGATTGATATTCTAGTATGCATGTAGATTAATATTCAAGAATACAGGTAGATTGATATTCTAGTATGCATGTAGATTAATATTCAAGTATACAGGTAGATTAATATTCAGTATACAGGTAGATTAATATTCTAGTAGACAGGTAGATTAATATGCAAGTGTACAGGTAGATTAATATTCAAGTATACAGGTAGATTAATATTCAAGTATACAGGAAGATTAAATATTCAAGTCTACTGATTTGCTTAGAACTAAAAAGAACAGATGAAGAAGTAGATTTTTTGTTGTGTTGTAGAACATGTGACTCAAGGAAGGAAGCGGAATGTTTGCTGGCAAATATAGAGATTAGAAGACTGGACACTCTAGTTGGAGGAATTAGGTAACCTTGTTCAAGAATGAAACATTAACTTTTGAAAAAGGTTTTTAATTGTTAACAATGATTAAACATGAGTAAAAACATTAATTAGGAAACGAAAAAAATTGGTTATAAAAGCAATTTAAGAGGGGAAAATTTTCCTAGTTCCTTTTTTCATTCCCAACAAAAAGAAGTTATTCTTCAAACTATATATTTCTGGTGTTATTACAATTTGTTGTTGTAACCTGTATTACCACTGATCCCACTCTTCCAGAAAAAAATTACTTAATTACCTATGTTTTACTGAGTTAATTTTGTCATTTGTTTAGTTTTTGTTTTGTTTCAGGCGTATAGGAGATGAGATTAGTAGAAAAGTATATCTTGCTCTGATGTCAGATGATGAAACCTCACTCCTTAGTAACATTTAGCCAATTTATCCTCTATATCTTGCTATGTTGGAAGAAGAAGAAATCTCACTCCTTAGTAACATTTAGCCAATTTATCCTCAATATCTTGCTCTGTTGTAAGAAGAAGAAATCTCACTCCTTAGTAACATCTTGCCAATTTATCTTAGCTCTGGTGTCACATATGAAACTACTTTCTTTCTTTCAATATATCCTATTTAATGTAATTTTTTAAAATTTATAATGTATTTCAGAATAATTTAAATCATAATAATTAAAAAATGTCAGAAGAAGGGTCCGGAAACTCTCGGCTGGGCGAGATTGTTCTGGAAAAGTACTGCCCCTTGGACCTAAGTGAGGACGAGGATGACCCAGATAACTTTGAACCAATAAATACAGATGAGTCTGCTCCAAAAGTTCTTGAACAATCTGCAAATATCCCAAACAGATCTGGAAATCCAATCAACAGATCTGGAAATCCAATCAACAGATCTGGAAATCCAATCAACAGACCTGGAAATCCAATCAACAAATCTGGATTTTCAACCAACAGACCTGGAAATCCAATCAACAGACCTGGAAATCCAATCAACAAATCTGGATTTTCAACCAACAGACCTGGAAATCCAATCAACAGACCTGGAAATCCAATCAACAGATCTGTCCTGAGCACCACAACAAGTTTGGTTAAAGTTGGGTTTCAGAAGGGAAGGAGTCCTAGAAAATCAATTGGATCTATGGCTATTGCATCCTCTGCAGACAAAGCTGAATTAATTTCATTAAAAGCTGGTGGACTGCAGGCGAATGGGAAGAAGCCCCTGAGGACTGATGTTCCTAAAGGTATTCCTAGAAGCAAGATTCAGAAGGTTGGTAATTATGCATCTCGTGGTAGAGAACTGGTTTCCCAGAATACAGATCTGGATGATGATACAGTAGTTCTACTAGACGAGGAGGAGAACAAGTGCTATACCTGTTGCAAAGTAAACATTTAATCTCATTTTCAAAAATTCTTAAAAACATGAAAACTTAATTGTTACTTTTTATGAAGTTTTGTTGGATTTTTTTCTTCATTTTAATGTTGATGAAATGAACATTATATGTAATTATACTTTGCTTGTCTGTCTGTATGTCTGCCTGTTATTCCGTTTGTATATAATAAACGTCCAAAAGTCTGAATTGATTGGGTCCACATTTTTAACCCAAGGAATATTTATGACCAGTTAAATTGAAAAAAGAAAATGAGGTTTTGCCAAAAGCTCTAGTTTTCTTATCCCCTTATATTTGAAGCCCAATACCGTAGACCGCAGATATTTCAAACTATTAATCTGCTAGACTAAACGGTTTAGGTTTGTAATATCTAAAGATTACACCATCAGGTTTCAGAAATAGGAATTAGAAAAGTTGAATTTGTGGCAGACTCGATTCTTTTTTTCTGAAAAAATTTCGAGTTTTTAAATTGTAGAAATTTGTTAATGTCTATAGTAAAATCCTCTTTAAAGTTTTACAATTACGAAGAAAAACAGCGATTGAAAAGCAACATTGAAACGCTGAAATTGTTACTAAAGAAGGGCACCAGCACCCTATAACCCAAGTTTAGTAACATTTTTTATAAAAGTGTTTTTTTTTTCATTTTATATTGTTGTTCACAATTTTTTTTTCAGGATATAGTTGAATCTAAACTTGATTTGAGAGTTGATACTGGCTCCGCTGTGAATATTTACAAGGGACTTAACATTCATCTGAATATTCGGACATTTACTCGAATTTTTCGGACATTCCTAAACAAAATTAAGTTGAAAAATTTATTTAGGAATTTAATGTTTTAAAAAATGCTTTTCTTCTTAACCTTTTTCTGTTTCTAATTTAAAATGAATTAATTTTGTTTCTATAATTTTTTTAATTTTACTAACTTCACTTTCAGAAATTGACTACTCACCTAAAACCCAATGTCGAAGACCTTTGATATTTCAAACTCTGAATTACTCTAGATTAATTAGTCAAAGTTTGAAAAATCACCATGAGTTAACAATGGAAAAAAATTCCGAGAAACTTTTAATTTGATGCGAGAAACCAGTTAATTTCTAAGATATGTTTCTATTTTCTGCCAAAAAGAAATTGATTCCATTTCTATTTATCCCGAAGAAGTTGCAATTGAAGGAAAAATCACCATTAGACAGCTGTGATGATTAGAAACTTAAAGTTTGAGGCAAGAAATCAGTTCTCGTCTGAGATATTTTCTATTTTTCTGCCAAAAAGAGATCGACTTTTTCTTATCTTATCCTGATAAAGTACTCTGTGATCCATGTTCTTTAGAAGGAGACAGAGGATTGTTGGGGAGGGGTGATTACCTGGGAGCACTGGTGCTGTCAGGAAGGCATAATAGAAAGATAGAATGAATGTGAGTGTATGAAGTTGTGTGCGGACTGTGTTCTAAAGCTGGAGAAGAGAAGCCTGGTTGCAACTAAGAAAGAGTACAAGACCGGTCAGATCCTTACTGAGAGCAAAGTTATTATTGTAGGTAAACAGCTAAAATTGAATATGGTTAGGACTGTTGTTTTAGTTTTAAGTGACCCTACATTTAATTAAGGGAATGTCCTATTCACAATGGTACACTTAAACCTTAAACTTATCAATATCGTTTTCTAGCTTAAAGTGTTTAATTAAAGAGATATATTAAGCTGAATATAAGTTGAAAATAACCAACTTTTTAAAGAGATAAATATGGAAAGCTCATTCATTCTTGTTCAGACATGAAAAAAGAAATTGTAATTGAATAAATGTATTTCAAAGTTATCTTCTTGTTTTTTTATTGAAAATATGAAAATTTCACCTATTTCATTCCTAATCAACTTTTAGTGGAATTGCATTTTCAAAGAAAATTAGAAGGTGTGGGAGTGGCGATGTGGGGGGGGGGCAGACTGGATTGTCGTTCTTGTAAAGCCCATTAATTGTTTATGAAAATAAAAATTCATACTTGTTAGATTCCTGTGAAGATTATGAATGTCTACTCTGCTTCAAGAAGATGTCTTCGCAACACTGGACTTCTTATCATTTTGTCAGCTTCCAGGAATATTCACTCAGATCAACTGATTATTATATATTTTTAAGATTCCCGTAATTGATACACACGGTACTTACAATCCTGTTAATTTTAAAGCGGATCCGGGGCAGATCTTGGATCTGCACTGAAAAAATGGATCCAGGTCACGATCATTTCTACAAGATTTACTGATTTTTTTAACAGGCGAAGAATTTTTAAATTGTTATTATTTTTTTCATTTTTTATGCTAACTTTTTAGATTTTGGTTTTAAGAGCAAAATTTTTTTGTTTGTAGCTTTTGGTTGATATTTCGCCCATTGGATCCGGATATTTTTTATGGATCCGGATCCAGGAAGTGAAAATGTTGCGGATCCAAGGAATCCGGATCCGGATCCTAAGCCCTGGATTCCCAACGGTACCTAAATATTGTTATCTTTATAGATTTCATATCAATTTTTAAAAAGACAAAATCTTCATTATGGTAAAATCATGGTTCTGTCGTGCTAAAGTCCAGTGGTCGGTGATTATACTAATACAATGAAGCCGGCTTTTTATTTAAGTTTTAATTGCTAGCAAGCTTTTTTAAAATTACAAGTTTACAAGTAATTAAAGAGAAGCTTTTTGATTAACAGCTTTCTTTTGTCTTATGTTTACCCATGCTGATGTAAAACAAAAATTTAAGTGAAAGTCGTCTTCATTTTATTCATATATGCGACGACGACTGTATGCATATTGTATATATACAATATTTTATTTTAATAAATCATGTTTCTGAGTTGATGAAGTATTCAGGAAGGAATATTGAAGACTCCTAATCCTAGCCGGAGCTCAAACTTCCTCCTCTGTGTATTTCTATGTGACAAGTGTAGCTACTTACCTATACCTGAGTAAGCAATTTCTTAACATTTTATTCAAGAATTTCTAGACATTTTATTCAAGAATTTCTAGATATTTTATTCAAGAAGTTCTAGATATTTTATTCAAGAATTTCTAGACATTTTATTCAAGAATTTCTAGACATTTTATTCAAGAAGTTCTAGACATTTTATTCAAGAAGTTCTAAATATTTTATGCAAGAATTTCTAGATATTTTAATTAGGAATTTCTAGACATTTAATTCAAGAATTTCTAGACATTTTACTCAAAAATTTCTAGACATTTTATTCAAGAATTTCTAGACATTTTTTTCAAGAAGTTATAGACATTTTATTCAAATTGTTCTAGATATTTTATTCAAGAATTTCTAGATATTTTATTCAAGAATTTCTAGACATTTTCAAGAATTTCTAGACATTTGTAAGAATCTCTAGGCATTTTTTTCAAGAAGATCTAGATATTTTATTCAAGAAGTTCTAGACTTTTTATTCAAGAAGTTCTAGACATTTTATTCAAGAAGTTCTAGATATTTTATTCAAAAATTTCTAGACAGTTTACACAAAAAATTCTCGACATTTTATTCAAGAATCTTTAAACATTTTATTCAAGAAAATCTAAACATTTTATTCAAGAGTTTCTAGACATTTTATTCAAGAATTTCTAGACATTTTATTCAAGATATTTAAGAATATCATAATCTTGGAGTAAATAAAGCTAATATTGGAAATTCTGAAGCAAGAAGAAATAATTAATAATAATTTTTTATTTTTTGTTTTTGTTGTAATTTCATGTACTCTGCATTTCAAGAGTGGTATACCCGTTGCACAATGGTACCCTTTACACATTAATCAAAGCATTAATGTAGTTAATATATATATATATATAAAATGAATATTTTGTCCTTTCCTAAAAAGTGTTAAATTCTGTTGATTTCCTTTACTTTTTCACCAGCAGTAATATTCAAACCAAAAACTAATATATCTTTATAATTTTTTCACATTTAAGGGTTCCGTTGTGAATCCGGCAAAGGCATTTCCATTCAATTAATTTTAAGTGATCTATTATTTAAAAAAGGGGCAAAAATGCGGGAAAAGTCGTTTTCTATTCCATTGTTTCTTTAGCAGAAATGCGCGAGTCACGTTACCGAAAAAATGATAATAGTAAGTAATCACGTTTAAAAAAAATAAAAAGTCCACAATCATTCTGTATTATGGTAGATTGGATATTTCATGCATTATTCTTCAGATACCGTTGTAAATCGGACAAAGCACTATGCAAATTGAGATTCACATAAAATATTTTTTTTTTAGAATCTCTTAAATAAAGCCGTATTCTTACATTTCTTTGGCCCCTAAGATTATATTTTATCATATTTGTGCAATTATTTCATTATGATTAAATTAAGAATTTTTTAAAGATTTTGTAATTTCCAATTGTTGTAGCTCATGTATTTCTTAAAATGTTCAGGTCAAAGTTTTGAAAATGTTTACAAAATCCAATTAATATTTCTTGTTCAAAAGATAGAAAGAAGGAGGGACCAGTAAAATCTATTGTTTTCGGGGGATTTTCAGGCACCAACGGGTGCTAAGCCCCTTCCTGGAAAGAAAAAAAATAAGCCCTCCCCCCTGGACAAACTCCTGAATACGTCCCTGAATTGCTACTGTAGCTTGTTAATATTTTCAGTGAATTCAACTACACATTCATTCGTTTTCCAGTATTTAACAAGAAGAAGAAATTTATGTACTTCCCACCTATCCGTAAGTAGAAACTTATAATAATATCAAAATAAATAAATACATTTATCTGTATGATGTGTTGTTAGAAAAAACTTCTGAAAAGAGTGCACTGTCGACCTATCCAGTATCCCTCCTCGCCTCTAAAGCCTCCAGTATTCTTGACCGCTTCAAGGACAAGGCTGTACTCAGGGAACCTCCCAGACATTTAAAAGGAAATCAAGATTATTCAAAAGTTAAAAATATATTTTGTTATGATTCTTATTATTATTATTATTTTTTATTTCAACAGATTATTTTCTTCTGTGGTTTCTCTACAAAAGTGACTTGTGCATTTCCTGCTATTAAGAAATTTTAAAGGAATTATCAGAAATTAAATACTTTTCGATTCAGAATAACGACGTTAACTTCCACATTCATGGAGAGTCACATGAAATTACGTTTACAGTTCCTTTCCATGTTAAAAAAAGTTCTTGGTTGACTCGCAGGCAACATGTTGTATATACACAACGGTTTTGATAAACATGGAAATTGGAACGGAAAGCACTGGGGCTGTGATGGATATTCGTTTATCAGGTAAACCAAACCAAACCAATCCTAATCATACAGGGTTACCCACAATGGATGAAATTTTAAAGACGACCTGGAACTCTTTAAATGGGACGATGACGATTCCAAGGTCGAATTAAGTCTTCTGCCAAGAATATAGTTTAACTACCTCTTAATTAATTAAATCAATTACATGGTGATGAAAAAATCTTAATATTTTTTATCTCATATCGCTGGGTATAATTCTATAAAAACTATCAAATCGTCAGTTTTAAAGCTTTTTCTTCAGGTGGAATACTCGCAAGGTTCGCGTCCAAACTAAAGAACTAGAGGAAACTGTATTTGTACTGAAGGGGACCAGGTGAAATCAATCAATTTTAACCAAGAATATTTCGTTGACTTTTAAATTTCGAGTTTTTGTTAATTTAAAAAATTTAATTTTTTTCCATGATTGACATAAACTAGAATTAAAGTTATAAACATTAAATTAAAAAATGCAAACTTTTTAATGGCTGAAAAAGTATCACCACCCCCCCCCCCTCTTACTATCTTCGAAATTCAAGGGGATGGGGGGGGGGCACTTATTTTTTAATCTTAAATCAATGACATAAGTTTTATACCCTTTAATCTTTCAGTCAATCTGAAGCACCTGATCCGTTGGTGTTCCGTAGAAGAGTGATTAAGAGTCCTGAACTCAAAGAGACTTCCATTATATTTTACTCTGGTTTGTATTTTTTAATGGAAGATGAAACCTTAAATATTAGTTAGTATTATTTTAATTGAAGAAAACTTTATTTTAGTATTTTTTAATGGAAGATGAAACCTTTAATATTAGTTAGTATTATTTTAATGGAAGAAAACTTTATTTTAGTATTTTTTAATGGAAGATGAAACCTTTAATATTAGTTAGTATTATTTTAATGGAAGAAAACTTTATTTTAGTATTTTTTAATGGAAGATGAAACCTTTAATATTAGTTAGTATTATTTTAATGGAAGAAAACTTTATTCTAGTATTTTTTAATGGAAGATGAAACCTTTATCTTAGTGTTACTTTAATGGAAGAGAACTTTATCTTCGTATGTTTTTAATGGAATATGAAACCAATATTCTAGTTAGTATTATTTTAAAAACGATGTACAACAAGAAATATGACAGGGTGTGTGCAGACGTGTGAGCAACCTATTTAATTGCTTAGACATTGGACAATCATCTATTTCACTTATATTGTTAAATTAAAATTTGAAAAAAATGTGGAAAAGGGTGCAAGAAACCTTTATTTTAGTATTATTGCCATGGAAGATAGCTTTATCTTAGTATTATTTTAACGGAATTTTAATTTTGGTCTAAAATCTACCTAGGCAAAAAAAGTCAGGACTTTTACATATATTATTTGTTTACTTCAATGCTGCAAAATAGTTGCGAAGAACAAACATTTTGTTGCAGGCAATGTCCCTGTTGTTGGGAACCCTGAGGTTCTTCATGTTGAAGAAATCGAAGAAATAAGTTTATCTGATGATGAAGATGGGTGGGCCGTGTAAGTATTTGGTGTCATTTAACATGATTTAAAAAAATTAAATTTATAAAATTTTAACTTTTCAGCCTGATGTGCAATATTTGTTATTGGCATTCAATAAATGAGGTTTCAATTAAAACTAAATTAAAAATTATCTGTTATGTAAATATGCATTACGCATTATTAATATGGGGGGATTTTTAGTTATGCTTAATCTTTTGATTATCTGATTCCTAATTCCTGATTTCTAATTTCTTCGAAAAAGATCTAAATCACACATCTCTTCAAATTGATTTATACGTCACTTTTGAAAATTTAGAAGCTGTTAGGTCATAATAAAAATATTGAATTTATTTTTGCAAACTGAAAAAAATTCCTCCTAAGTTGTTGCCTTCAGAAAGAATTCTCAGAGGCCGAATTTAATGAATTTGAATCGCGTCTCAAATCCGCCAAAAACCGGTTTCAATGGAGGGCTGGCTGAAATCTTGAAGATAATTGAATACAATTTTAAGTGGAATCAACAATATTTGAGCCGCGGCTCAAATTCTTTAAATTTCGCCTCCGGATTTATTTTTATTTTTAATAATTTCTAGGAAGGAAGTTGCAGTCAAAGTAAATCAGAAACCATCAGATTCCTTCCAAACAGTTCAATCCCTTGTGAAAACTCATTTGCAGGCTCCTATCAAACTGAACAACTCGAATAAAAGATCTAATAGTAAATCAAAGAGAAAAGGAATTGTTGACAAGCCATCTGATCCCGGAGTTTCACAGCCACCATCTGTGCGTGGAAGTAAGAAAACTAAATTCAATCCAGTTCCCTCAGTACCAGAAATATCAACTATTAACGTGATAAAACCAATTGCTACCCCCTCTCATGCTCAACAATCTACCATGAAAACAGTTAAACTAATAGTACAAAAAGAACTAAGATCCGATGTTTCACACACCAATGTCAAAGATTTGACATCTTCTATGGCCAACTATGACAGTAGAACATATTTATTTCAAAATTTTGACGGGAAGCAGTTGTTTAAAGCAGTTCCACTTGTTACAAAGGACAAGGTTTTTCAAGGCTCTCAGTGGATTCCCAAGGAAAATGTGCTTCACAGATTACTCCTGGAAACAGATCGGCTTGGAGAATATAAGATAAAAAGGGAGCAGTTGTCCGCACTATTTGGTATTTCACTTCCCAAGAAACCCCAAATTTCTTTGGAACAAGACTGGGATTCGTTCCTTGGTCCTTTCTCTAACAATAATGGAGTCACTTATTTGAGAATTCCGGTTCATTGTGATAATATGACCGCTATTGAGAAGGTTATAAGTCAAGATTCATTTATAATCAATGAAATTACTCAAAAGAGGGGAGTTGTTGAAAATTCTCTTCTGATTTTGGACTACTTCACCAACATGAAAGTAAGTGACCCGTATGAGCTAGCATTATCTCCGAGTGATTTGTCTGATCCCCTCGCAGGATTAGAGGATGTGCTGCGGGAAATGGATGAAGATCCTTTATCAAGCTATGATCCCCATTATGTTACTCCAAATGAATTTTTTGTCAGTAAACCTGTTCTTGAAGGTAAGCCTGTTCTGACCGCTAGCAACCCCATGGTTGTTTTCCCAATTCAAACTTCACAATTCACCAACCTAGTTGATCCAGTGAAAGTAGAAAGCGATGACAAGAATATGGTTTTCCCGGTTGTTACAATGGTCAGATCTATTGACGAGTCCTCCTTTAACCTGGACATAGACCCACTTACAGGGACAGCAACACCAGTTCAGGACATCAAAGTTGAACCGGTAAATAATATTTTTATTATCTATATATATATATATATATATATATTAAGTAATAACCTCAGTTTGTCCTGTCTTAACTAGGAACTATAACACTGTTTTGCCTTAGATTTTGATTGGGGAACTAAGTATAACCTCCAGAAGGTTGTTAGCTTAGTTTTTAAATTCTAAATTGATCAAATTGACTTTTTTGGGAAACTACAGAAAATGTTGGGTTCTCAAGCTAATAAAATATGCATTTATGATTGGACTTGGAAATAGCAATGTGTTCAAAATAATTCCTTATGGGGGGCGGGATGATAGTGATTCAGGGAGTTCCTAAATGTTCTTATTTTCTCCATCCCTATAGTAAAATGTTTAACATTTCTTTCAAAATTCTTTTTTAAAAATCTAATCCTTGAAAGTCTAATTTGATTTTGATTTAATATTGTTCAACAACAAACCTTTGTTAAATAAAACTCCTTTAAGTATTTTTAATATGAATAATTAAATATTAACGATTTTCTTTCTAGTTAATATTCAATTTAAATCAAGACGTGCTTTTAACCTTTTTTTTTGCAAATTGTTTACAATATTTTATTCATATCATTTGAACTAGTGTAAGTTTTGTTTTTTTTCTTGCTCTTAATATGTTGGTGTGTAATTCAGAATCAAGTATTCCATTATTTAGTTTTAAGCCAATTTTTTATCTCTTTGTTTCAGACTATGCCTTGCATCACAAGTGTGTGTGGAAATGCCAACTTCCTTACGGATCTATTAAAAGCAGAAACAAACAATGAATCTAATTCAGACATCAATACAATACTTCATTAGAACCATACAGGTCTTTACAATACTGTGACTTGTAGTTCAACATTCTCTAGCTCAGACATAAACCAATGAAGTACCGATTCATACAAAACTCATGAACCAGCGCAAAGTTTTCAACAGTCATATTTGTATTCAAGACCTACATGATTCTACAGTTCAACCAATAATATTCCACTATGATCGATTAAACAAGATTACAAAATTATGCTCTAAACCTCTATCATATCAGCAATAACTTCAAATCCAAATCCACAGTCCGTATATAGTCATAGTGAGTAAATACTAGAGTGGAACAGACTAAGGCAACGACGACAGGTTGGGCCATAAGGTTTTATTTGGTTTGAAAATAATTGCATGAAAAAATTTCTTTTGGAAATTTAAGACTAGAAACAATAGACTATATACCCATGTAAATGTCGTCTTCAGTTAGAACTTCGAAATTTTCATAATTAAAAATCAAAATTTTTTGTATGCTTATATGTATGGAGGCTCATCCCCCCCCTGGATCAGTGAAATATATGCTTTATTTTTGGGGGGGTTGGCCTCCCCCCCTAAAAAGAAAATAAAATGTAAGAAATGAGAAGATCTTCATTTTTCGGTATCACAAATTTTGCATTCCTTGTTTTACAGATTATGCATGCAGGCATTATTGCGCTGTCTGAAATTATTTATTGTGCAGTAAAATGGTTAAAATTCACTTCTGAAATCTTTATTTACTTTAAAATCTACATTTAAGGTAAATACAAATTCTAGTCAAGTCCAGTCCAGTTTCTGTTGTACTGTGCATTCCGTACAGACCAATTTATATATATATATATTATTTTTAAATACTTGGGACATAAAATGTCGTCATCCAACTATGAGTTTTGCCCACTTAAGTATTTAATCACTTTGGTATATAGTTACTATTAGTAACATTAAAGCCAAAAAAATGTGTGTCCTATATTATCAAGAGTTAATATCTGGCCCGTCCTCTCATAATTCTTCTGCAATACCCCCACCCCTCTTTTAAAAGAGCAACTCTCTGTGACTATACTTTTCAAGGTTATGTTAAAGGGGCTGCAAGTGTAATTTCAAGTAACCCTCCATGCAATGATGGCTATGCCCAATTTACAATGGAACCCTTGAAACCTTGATCTAATTAACAGGTGGAGGATATTCACGTTTCTCTGACTAATAGTGTTTATTTCCGTGAGTTGCTCTAGTGCTTTTTTATTAACAAGGTCCAGGATGAATGGTTATACAAATCTGATCTATACTTGGATTCCAGGTTCAGCTTCGGTATCATGATATTTGGTTTCGGTCAACCGATAATCTTGACTTTGGTATCAATGACAAAAATATTGCCTTGATTCCTGGCACTCCAATGGTGATTGGTTGGATTGGCTGGTACTTTTGGTGGTTTGGGGTACATGTAAGTATCTAGATCTTCCTTTTTTTGCTTTTTGATAGATTGCTTACTCAATCCTGTGGCTACTTGTTCGGGTTTCTCACTGTCTTAGTTGTTATATTCTTTCTTGGTTTCTCGATAGCACCTGCAGCTGCAGTGCTCAGCCCCTCTCCGACCTTATCATGAAAACTCCAGTGTTAATATCATTCCAGAGAATGCCCTGATATTCCCGTGCTCCTACTACTCTATTAGCAACTTAACCAAGAACTACAAATCCTGCTGAGTTATTAGTACTGTATTGATAGGTTAAGGCTAGAGTTTGCAAAATATGAAAGGAAAGGATAGACGTAGAAGAAAAAAACGGATGAATATTTAAAAATTAAAATTTTATATGTCTGACCAAAAAAAGGACAGAAGGTCACAATTCAGTTGGGTCTGAGAGTTCCATTTTCTCTAAGTCAATAAATCAACGCAAATGCGTCTGACAAAAATTATTTTTATAGTCTATCTATAAACTCAAGGTTTTAAGATTAAGGAAAAATAGTATGGAAGATCATGGCCCGCGTAAAACAAGTTTTCACTATGGTTTATAGGGTATCTACACCCATATGTCAAGTTTTTAATGATCAGGCAACAGCTCAACTCAAAACGGGTATACACTAAACATCTTTTCATTAATCTTGAGTAAAACAAAAAATAGAAAAACTTCGATAACGAACTGGAAAGAGGCTTATACTGATATATCGTTTTTTTGTATGCATGAGCTTTTGCCCACAACCCTTTATTAAAATAAATTGTTTTTTTTTATAGCTAAAAAACAACAAGAAATGTTCAAGTCACTTTCGCAGAGAACCCGCAGATGAAAATAAACTTTTTAAAGGCACAATTAAACATTGATATCTAATTCATACTTGATCGGAAAAAGCTTTTAAGGGTACCGTTGTAAATCGGGCATTACCATCTTTGCATGGAGGGCCACTTGAAATTACAGTCCCTTATAGAACGATAGATAATTATTGGATGTTGTTTATTTAATAAATTGTAATTCTTCCTTAGCTGGGAACTTTTGAATGGTGGATATTGGGATTAATGCTTTATCGACTCTTATTCTTAATCTCGAGATTAAATTACGCTTGTTCTCCTCTTGTTATGAAACTCTAGATTAATTAAGCGATCGAGATTAAGGATATTTCATTCTAAAGTTTTCAGCTTAGATCATATATTTAACTTTGTATTTTAAGAGGTAAGAAATCTGTTGATATCGTGACATATTGTTCTTGCAGATTAAAGTCTTATAATGGGATGGGAGGACACTCCTGCCTTGGACTGGACAGTAGATGATGTTAGGTGAATAATTTTACTAGTTTTTCTAAATATTAATGTAGAAGTTCGATTTTTAAACTTTACTTTGAAATTAAATTTTTCGGGCAAGTCATCTAACCTTTTACCCTCTTTAAAGCAGTACTTAGTATTTAACGAATATTTTTTTAACATGTTCTTTTTTGTCAAGTTTTATCGAATTGTTAGGAAAGTTTTAATGATATCTTCTTATTTTACACAACATTGTGTGTTTTGAGAGCAAAAAGTTAGTTTTTTGATGTTTTGGTTGATATTTTGCCACAGACCATCGCAAATGGCTATTTGTGGCAGAAAACCCGGTTATACAAGTGATATACAAAAGATTTGTCTTGCAAAGCCAAATTTAACGTGATGTGGGAAAAAATTGTGAAATCGCAATATCAGCTGTTTTGCATAGTTTTTCAGCTCAAACTTGGCTTTTTTTCATTATTTTGTAAAACGGTTTTTTTCTGTTGAATATTGCGTGGAAAGAGGGATCTTTTGGTGCCCATACCGACGTATTTTAATAAGAAGAAAAAACACTCTTACTAGCGTTTTTTATCACAAAAAGCCATTTGCGATGGCCAATTTTGATTTTATCGAGAAAATCATTTTCGTAAATGTTGCTTAGAATTAAAAAATATATCAGTAATTACTATACTTAAATTGATTTCTCTCAAATTTGTGAAAAATCTGTCACCCTTCATCTGTATACTGTTGTGTCCAATGAGAGGGGGAAGGCTCGCCACATCCAAATGGCTTTCTGTCCGCAATTTACTCACAAACATGAAGTTTGCGGCACTGCGCTTATCCGTATCGCTTACACATATGTTTGGACATTAGCCTCTGTCTTTGTTTTTACTTTTTGCCGGAAGATACATGGGTGCAGACAGTAAGCGAAACGAGTTACGCACAGTACCGCAACTTCATGTTTTTGAGTCAATTGTGGACAGGAAGCTATATATATATGCGGCATGCCTTCCGGCTTTCCCCTGGGTACTCCAGATCTCTGCATCTCCAAAACACGTTTGAAAGGGATCATTGACAATTATTTAGGAGTTGGTTAGAGTTCCATGGACTGAAACATCTAGAAGTTCTTGTTTGTAATAAAAACCATGTAGATGGAAAAACCCTTCTTATGATTCAGGTGATTTTTTAAACTCAACCCCTCACCGAAAAGTAATTGGGTTTATAAAAAGGATTAATAAACTTTTCTTTGTTTTTTTTTATGGTTGTAGTTTAGTATTTAGTTAGTTTTTTTATTTACTGCTGGGGGAATAGGAAGACGACATTTAATCAATCTATTTTGTAGGAAATCGATAACTTGTGAATCAATTCTTGTTTAAACGTTTAATTTGCTCGGTTTTTATACTTCTAATTTTTTTTCGAATTGATGTAGTACTTTCTATGCTTAATGGGACTGTCCACGTAATTATTGGTGACCCTGGATCATCTCCGATTTGCAGCGGTGAATTTTAATCCTTCCTCTGAGCAAAATTGTGGAATTCTTGTTTCTCTTTCGGAAAGAAGGTGTGAATTGCATATAACTCTTTGTATGGGGGTCACTTGAAATTCCATCGACAATAATTTAAAATCTCTCAAAATGTACACTGTGCAGGAAGAGGATGTAAGACGACCTCCACTTCAGCTCTCTACCCTTGGGGATATTAAACATTTTATGTACTATGTCAACTCTTTAAAGGGAACTCAGAAAATACTTAATCAGGTAAAATTCAATTTATTCATCTTAATCTTGCTCTTGCTCTTACCATTATTTAATCTTAATATTATCTAATCTTAATCTTGCTCTTCTTTATCTTCAACTTGATCTTGATTTTAATCGAGGTATCTTTTCAGGACGTACGAGTATCTTTGGGATTAGTTAAATCAACATCTTTTCAAACAGAGGTAACATTAAATCAAAAAATAATATTTTATTTTAAAAAATTGTATTATTATTTGACTTTAACTTGTACTAATTTCTGTAGCAGAGATATGTGTGTGTAAGCTTATCGAACCCCGCTTGCCTTGTTTTCAGCTGCACACAGGATGCGCTGTGTTAAGTCCGAACTATACACAGTGCACACAGGAATTCGCTACTGAATACAACGTGTTTCGATATTCGATAAGTTTACACACGCATATCTCTGTACTCGACGAACACATAAAGGTTTTAAGTGTAACGTTGTAAATCGGGCATTGTCATAAACAGATGTAACTACATAATGGGTATGAAATACTTCCCTCATGTAAATTCTCCTGGCACAGCCATGTTTAAATCCCGGATTTTCATGTCAACGTTTCCATCCACTACTTGGGGAAGCCATGTCTCTTCATAGTGTCTTAATCTCTATCTCTATCTGTTGAACTATATTCAGTTTTTAGCATCTTAATCTCAGATTTTATCTGTCAAAAACAATTCGATTTAAATGGTATATAAATTTCTTACTTTCTGTCTGATTTCAGGTGTCCTAATCGAGGTACCGTTCATTTATTTGGGTAATTTCATGGTAAACTATATTAGCCCATTGGCTTATCATGTGTCAGACATTATACAATAAAATATAAAAACTTTTGATTTTAGAACTAACAAGAAGTTTTCGTGATTTAACAAATAAACACGTTTTATACAAAAACGAATTTCTCTCTCAGCAAACTGATTCCTAGATTCCAACGCTTAAATGAATCACGGGGAAAGTAATGAAAACGTATCAAACCGTCAAATGTTAAAAATAAGTTATATTTGGAAAATAGACAATTTTAAATAATTTGGAAAAAAAATTAAAGATGTCTACAATTAACTATTAGATACTATAATTTAATTTAATATTTGAAATTTTTTAAAAATCCATGACTGTCAAAAAGCACCAAATAGTGTCTATGCAAAGGTATCATACCTCTGCGCTGGAGTTCTGAACGATAAATCGGCTTTTTATCAGGCTACAGATGTCTTTTAAAAGTATGACTAATTCCAATGAATAGCTAAAAGTCTATTTAGTTTACCCTCAAATTACCCAAATAAGTGAACGGCTCCTTTAAACAGGTCAAACAGTGTCAAATATTCGGCATTTTTCTCCATTTTCTCCCTAAAGTAATTTTTTAAAATATTTTTAATGATGATTTATGACCAGTTGTAATACCTTTGAAGGACCCTAGATATTTGAGAATATCCTGTATAATGCGATTCCAGCTTTTAAAATATTAGATTCGTCCAAATATTGGATTTGATGTTTGGAAGTTGTTTGAGAAATTTACAATGCTGGAGATAATTAATTTCTTTATCAAATATCATGTAAAAACGAGTTAATAAACATAAAAATTATCTTTTTATTGTACCTTGTTTTGCTTTGGTGAACATTAAACAAGAATCGGCTTTTAAAATTATCCTGTACTGAGAATTATGTAGGCAAGTACTGCTGGAGAAAGTTCAAGTTCTGAGTCTGAATCTGAATCTCATGGTAGTGTCAATACTGCTAATATTTTACCCTCCTTACTCCTCTGCTCTTCATGTAGGTAATAGATGGTGGCATTATTATTATTATTATTATTATTATTATTATTATTATTATTATTATTATTATTATTATTATTATTATTATTATTATTATTATTATTATTTTTATTATTATTATTATTAATTTAAAATCATCTTTATCGTTATTGTTATTGTTATCTTTACCGTTATCGTTATCGTTATCGTTGATATTTTAATTTTTTAACTTTTGTTTTTGCTTTAATTTTAAATTACAAAAATCACCTATCCAAAATACTCAAGATTTAAAAATTGCCAGTTCCAAATCACGTTCTTCCCGCAGCAATATTTCCAGCAGACTTGAACCAGAGCGCTGGAAAACCGCTTTAGGTAAATATTAGTTATTTTATCAATTAATAAATGGTTTTTCTTAGTCACACTTCTTATCTTTGTTTTAAGGTGTTTCTTCTTATTTTCTAGATAAACTTTTCTCATGCCTTTTTTGTCTGTCCAGGAGTATGTAAGGGGAATATGATCAAATTAAATTAAGCTAGCTTTATGTTATAATTTTAAGCAAATTACATATTGCCCATAAAAGTAAAAGTCCATAATCAATAAAACTGTAAATGAGTTAAAAAACTGAAAAATTTGACCTTTTTATTTGGAATAACTTTTACTCCACCCACTGCTCTGCCACGGAATTTTGGAACCTTTTAGGTATGGATGGACATTTTTACACATGAGGTGCTCTTTAAGAATCTGAGATGTTCATCACACAGTAAAATCAGATTTTATATTGAATTAAGCAAAAAAATTTCTCTGGTCAAAGATATTAACCAACTTTTTTGGTTAATATATTTGGCCAGAGTAAAAATTTAGCAGAATGTAATAAAGGCAAACTTATCCAGCAATTTTGAAATTTTTTACTTTTTTACCTAATTCGAAAAAAATCTGAATAATTCCGATATTTTCTTTCGTAGTGTTATATATTTATTATTTATCCCTGAAGGATGAGACTGCAGAGAGGACTGTACAAAGTTTCTGTTTCCTAATATTCATGATACCCTGCAGCTGTTAAATTGTTTATTTTTAGCGAAATCATTAAATATGCCTTTTCAAGACTTTTAAGAAAGAAGTCTATGTAACCTTGAGATCGTCATATTGTAATAGTTTTGGGTCGTCTTTACACTCTCATCCTTTGTGGGTATCCTTGTATTAGTGGATATATTCAATAACATAAATGGGACCCATCATTTGTGTGTGGGAGCTTACATGACCCCAAGGTGGCAAGATAAAAAATAGGCGTATCGGAATAAAAAAAATAGTTCCTTCAGAAATTTTTCGAATCTGATGACAACGTCTAAGCCTGGAAATAAATTGATCAAGTGATACGAGTCCATTTAGTCCATTTACACCACAATTGCTGTATTTCATGATTATTTGACAGTTTTAAAAGCAGACATTTAGTCTTTGCAGTCGTCTTCATATTCATCAGTTGTATGAGATTCCCTGTAAAAGAAACGTGCTAGAAGCCTATTTAAATTATTATGCATTGTACTTTTCAGCGTTAATGTATATCCTTTGTGTGAGCTGGTTAACTGCCATAACCATGACTGTTGTACATGATCGAGTTCCAGGTATATCAACTGTACTGTTACATAATATGTACGGTTGCATTGTTTGTACCTTAAAGAGACTGTGAGTGTAAGTGTCATTATAAGTAACACTCTATTGCAAAGATAGTTATACCCAATTTACAAAAGAACCATTGAAACCTTAATCTGATTAAAAATGTGAAAAATACGTCGGTTTTCGCGATTGATTTTATAAGGAAGAAATGTGCAAGTTACTTTTACAGAAAAACCACAAATTATAATTAACAGTTAATTAAAGAAAAACATGGATATCTATTTCATACTTGATCAGTCAAAGATTTCGAGAGTACCATTGTAAATCAGGCATTCCCATCTTTGCATGGAGGGCTACTTGAAATTACGCTTTCAGTCTCTTTAAACACGGGGCAACACTTTTGTTTTATTTAGTCTCATTTATGTGTTCATATATGATTAGTTTGTGGTTACAGTGTTCTGCAAGGGAAAATAAGCATGTTTTTTTCAGGGGTGTATATTTTCCTAAAAACTCTCCTCCTTCTTTTTAGAAAATCATTTATTTTCTCTAAAAGTTATGTATGGTTCACGGGGCGCCAAACTAGTTTTAATGCTTAATCCTATTAACGGGATTTCAGGATCGACAGCGTAGGTTATTGGCTTTAAATTTTGTAGGATTTTCTGTTTTTTGGTTCTATTCTGGTTGCACATTTCCATGGTTCACGTTCCTAAGTCCCCTTGACGTTCCTATGTCCCCTTAACGTTCCTAAGTCCCCTTAACGTTCCTAAGTTTGAAAGAAATCAACTCAGACCAGATTATTGTACAATTTAAAGTTGCTTTAATCCACTTTAGTTAATTCAAAATGTAAGGTTGGGAACATTTTTAAATTAGGGTTTCACAATTTTAAGCATGAGTTATGAAAATTAAGTTGGTGTTACAAATTTCCTACTTTTTTTGTTTTTTTTCTATTATAAAGTTTATCATATCATAATTACTTTTAATAAAGATGCACTATACAAATACAATATGCATTCATTCACTTTGGTTCCTTAGTTCCTGCTCAATACATCCCTCCACCTCCTTTGTACAAACACAATAACTTAAACCCTACTTATGTTTAGATATGAACAAATATCCCCCTTTACCGGATATAATTCTGGATAATATCCCGCACATATCCTGGGCGTTCGAGATGAGTGAAGTAGCAGGCAAACATAAATCTACCAATTTCTAGATATCCCTGATCAATATCAATTAATAATATTGCGACTGTGTTTACTGTCATTTAAAATATAAAGTTTTTTATTTAAATATTTTAGATGTCCTAAGTTCATTTATTTGTTACTGTCTTTTTTCTTATTTTGATGCTGATAAAAAGATGACAATCCAGTCATAAATATTTCCTACAGTTAAGTTAATTTCTTTTTCAATAAATAATTATAATGTTATTCCTTGCAACTTGATTTTATATTCAAAGATTAGGAATGATATTATATTTCTACCATTGTTAATAACATGTTTGCGCGTTCAGGTATGACCCTTCTCATCATCTGGTGTATAGTTCTCCTGTTCCATACGCACAGGTCAACTCATTATAGTGAACCTTATTCAAATGATCCTCTTAGTATCATACCCAATTGGAACGGTGCCCTTTATCTGAATGACAAAAAGGAAAATTTTCTTTCTTGAAAATAGATCTTTTTGTCTCTTCTGCTGAAATGCGCAAGTCATCTATTAAAAATTTCTACAATTGAAAATGGTTTATTTTCCGAAAGAAAACAAAGATATCTCCATAATTCCTACTCGGCAAATGTTTTTAGGACCACCGTAGTGTATTGGGTCACATAAGTAGTTCAAACCAGAGTTTCTCTATTTATTTTTTCTAAAACCAAAAAGTTGTAAACTGTAAGCTTTAAAAAAAAGTTTGGAAAATGCCATTATCAGGTTCCCTCAGGGTTAATAAAAAAACATATTTTTTTTCATAAACTTACAACATTTTAAAATTATTTTCTGTGAAAGTTTGCTTCATTATTTTTGTTATTGTCAATGGGGAAGATATCGTCGGTTTTCCACTTTAAAAAATTGGTAGATTCTGTGAAATATGTTCATTGTCTTTGCTGTATAAAATCTGCAAGTCACTTTGATAGAGAACCCACATTTACAATTTATCAATTTTTAGTACGTAAAATACTAGGACATTTTCATCATTTTGGCTCCTTCTACCCTTCTTTTATGTAAAAATATAAGCAAAATGTACCATTCATAGTATTCTAGATTAAAAAACTTTTTTAATTTAAATTTTTTAGGTTTATTTTGGCAAGGCGGTTTTTCTCCATCTCTGGAACAATTTTTCTTCTTAGGAAAATCATTTTATTAGGAAATCGAATACTATTTATTTCCAAAAGGATTCGACAAGTTTACAGCAAATTCGATATTCGATTTATTCAACTTCTGACCTACGCAACATCCGCTTACTTCCTACCTACTAGCATGTGATTTTACAGTTGGACTTGAGGCCGCAACGCCTAGTCCCCTTGTCTGTCCTAGCGGCAGCGCTCGGCCCAGAAATTGGCTTAACCTAACCTAACCCAGGCCTCAAATAATACAAAATAAAACAGCTGACGTAGGTCCTACGTAGCAGTAGGTCAGAAGTTCATAGGAGGATATTGCGTATAGACAATGTAAATTATTGATTTCTTTCTTCTAAAATGTGTGCATGCGAAGATGTGTCACGATGTTGATAACCTCGTTGTCAGTACCAGGAGTACATTTAGACTGCAAACCTGCTCCATATGGAGCATGGACGGAAAGGTAAAAATATTTATTAATGTACTACTTCTTTAACAGACATGTACAATTTATCAATAAGCAAATAATTTATATTCATAATCCTATAATACTATAATATAATACAAAATCAAATTCCAGGTGGGCAGCAACCAACCTAGCTTATTTTGGAGGCTGATATTGGTTGTCTGGCAAAATGACGGATGTACGCTATTGTGGTTTTTAAAAATAGATAAAAATCAAGTGAATTTTAATCCTGGATATAAAATCTTTTCAAATCATTAAATTCGAAAAGAAAATATAATACCTTCTACAAGAGCACCTTTCTTCAGACCTGATTTAGTATAGTCATTTAGGGTTGGAGAATGAATGTGGAGAGAGTCTGATTTGATTCAATTTGATTTGATTGTATTTGATTTGATTTGATTTGATTTGATTTGATTTGATTTGATTGATTTGATTTGATTTGATTTGATTTGATTTGATTTGATTTGATTTGATTTGATTTGATTTGATTTGATTTGATTTGATTTGATTGTTTTGTTATGTTTTGTTTTGTTTTTCTTCTGTTTTGTTTTGTTCTGTTTTGTTTTGTTATGTTTTGTTTTGTTTTCTCCTGTTTTTTCTGTTTTGTTTTGTTTTGTTTTGTTTTGTTTTGTTTTGTTATGTTATGTTTTGTTTTGTTTTGTTTGTTTTGTTTTGTTTTGTTTTTTCTTCTGTTTTGTTTTGTTTTCTTCTGTTTTGTTTTGTTTTGTTTGTTTTGTTTTGTTTTTCTTCTGTTTTTCTTCTGTTTTTCTTCTGTTTTGTTTTGTTTTGTTTTGTTTTGGTTTTCTTCAGTTTTTCTTCTGTTTTGTTTTGTTTTGTTTTCTTCTCTTTTGTTTTGTTTTGTTTGTTTTGTTTTGTTTTTCTTCTGTTTTTCTTCTGTTTTGTTTTGTTATGTTTTGTTTTGTTTTGTTTTGTTTTGTTTTTCTTCCGTTTTTCTTCTGTTATTCTTCTGTTTTGATTTGTTTTTCTTCTGTTTTTCTTCTGTTTTGTTTTGTTATGTTTTGTTTTGTTTTTCTTCTGTTTTGTTTTGTTTAGTTTTGTTATGTTTTGTTTTGTTTTTCTTCTGTTTTGTTTTGTTCTGTTTTGTTTTGTTATGTTTTGTTTTGTTTTTCTTCTGTTTTGTTTTGTTCTGTTTTGTTTTGTTATGTTTTGTTTTGTTTTTCTCCTGTTTTTTTCTGTTTTGTTTTGTTTTGTTTTTTTCTTGGAAAAAAACCGATAGTTTTTCACTGCTAAGATGGGAATTCAAGATCATTTTTGACAGAAAAAAATCCCGAAAATTTTACATGTTTTATGAATCTCCCTGTATTGTCTGTTTCTAGGGTTCACGCTGCCTATGTGATCTGGTCCGGAGCTGGGATGAGTATTCAAGGAACCGTTTCAGCAAAGCATAAATGTTCTATCCGCAGTTCAACAATGAATCCAAATTTTGGATTCAGAGACTAGTGTACGGAATTTTTTATTCTTTTCTTGCATTCTTGTTTCCTGCACTTTTAAACTTTTTTCTTGTCTTGTCGAATATTTAAGCATAGATGAAGGCACCGGATGTCGTCATTAAAATCTCATTCTTTTTGGGTGATCCCGTAAAAAATAAGATTCAGCACATGACTTATATACGGTGGAACCCATAAACTGATAAATATGAAGACGACTGATAGACTGTACCTAGTATTTGAAATAGTACAACATGCAACACAGCAATTGTACAGTTCACACAGAGATATTTAACTTTTTAATGATTTTCAAGCGGCCCGGCTGGTAACACTATTTGCTTGAAAACATTACCCATAAGATTCCTTAAGTGACATCTTATTGTACCATAATATGGGCCACACTACATGTTTAATAAATATTGTTTAAATTTTGGTAAAGTTTGCATGAACCTGGAGTGTTGAAGGGGTTCGAACCTGTGGAGATTATATCTTCTCCGGGCACACTGTCTCACTTACACTTCTTAACTTCTTCATTACAGAGTATACTTCAAGGTAATCTTCTTAACTTCTTAATTACAAAGTATACTTCAAGGTAATCTTATTAACTTCTTCATTACAAAGTATACTTCAAGGTAAGTTATATCTTACTCTTCTTAACTTCTTCATTACAGAGTATACTTCAAGGTAATCTTCTTAACTTCTTCATTAAAAATTATACTTCAAGGTAAGTTATATCTTACTCTTCTTAACTTCTTTATTACAGAGTATACTTCAAGGTAAGTTATATCTTACTCATCTTAACTTCATCATTACAGAGTATATAATTCAAGGTAATCTTCTTAACTTCTTCATTAAAAAGTATACTTCAAGGTAAGTTATATCTTACTCTTCTTAACTTCTTTTTTAAAAAGTATACTTCAAGGTAAGCTTTATCTTACTCTTCTTAACTTCTTCATTACAGAGTATACTTCAAGGTAAGTTATATCTTACTCTTCTGAACTTGTTCATTACAGAGTATACTTCAAGGTAAGTTATATCTTATTATTCTTAACTTGTTCATTACAAAGTATACTTCAAGGTAAGTTATATCTTACTCTTTTTAACTTCTTTATTACAAAGTATACTTCAAGGTAAGTTATATCTTATTCTTCTTAACTTCTGCATTGCAGAGTATACTTTAAGGTAAGCTATATCTTACTCTTCTTCACTTTTTCAATACAGGGTATACTTCAGGGTAAGTTATATCTTACTCTTCTTAACTTCTTCATTACAGAGTATACTTCAGGGTAAGTTATATCTTACTCTTCTTAACTTCTTTATTGCAGAGTATGCATCTATGTAAGGTGTATGCATGGGTGGGGAGGTTAGTTGAAAGAATAAGATAAAAAGCTAAGCTTATTTTATGATCCTTAAGATGAGGAAAAAGTTCAATTTAACGCGAAACTCTAGCAAGCTTTCATTTTAAAAAGAGCGACTAAAAACATTTTTTTTAATGTAACAACGTATTTTTCCGAAGTTTAAAAATGGTTAAAAAATGATATACCTTTTCTTTATTTTCTTTTTATATACTTTTTTTTAATATTCTATATAATGAAAAAAAAATAAAATCATGCAGAATTGTTAATTTCTCAAAATCTAACTTCCACTTACTTTCTAGGAGAATTTACTTTCTACATACGTTCACTTGGGTCTGCAATTGCTTTGGTATATTCTTCATACTAGCTGCACACGAACACTACTCTATAGGTATCTATATTTATATATATATTTTGTTTGTCTGTTTGTCTGTTTGTCTGTCTCAGCCCTGGCTTATTCGGAATGATGGTTGATCGCTTGATCGCTTGTTTGTTTGTTTGTATCCATAAAAGGGTGAACCGATCTGGTCCAAAGGGTAAGGTGGAGATGTCCTTTCTGATGAGGGGGGGGTCCCTTCCTTCATTTTTGGTTCACATCTTCCAATTTTTTGGCTGCACGCCTAATTAGTGATCGAATTTCCTAAAATAAAATAAAATTGAATTTTAATGACCTCTAATGACCTCAACAAATAAAAATGTTTCAACTATGGCTTTATGCATATCAAACAAATTCTAGGAACCCAGGGAATATAGTAGCAGCAACGAATCCAGTGTTTGATCTTCTAATGGCCTCTAACGACCTTTAATGACCTAAAATAACATCCAAAATGAACATTTTTAACCATGGCTTTATGCATATGAAGGGAAAGCTAAAAACACAAGGAATACTTAGCAGCAACGCATCCAATGTTTGACCTTCTAATGACCTCTAACGACCTCTACGCATCCAATGTTTGACCTTCTAATGACCTCTAACGGCCTCTGATGACCATTTTACTAATATAAATCTACTAGGACAACATATTCCTTTAAATCTCCTAGGACAACATAATCCTTTGTTAAGATGTGTTTATTGCCTTCTATATAACCAGCAGACTGTTCCTCTACTACCATACTTTAGTTAACAATAGAACCCTCTTCAGATCACATCAGGTATAGTTATTATCATTATTATCATGATTATTATCATTTTCATCATTTTTATCATTATCATCACTATCATCACAATCATCATTACTATCATTAGTATCATTAGTATCATTAGGATCATTAGGATCATTAGCATCATTAGCATCATTATTATCATTATCATCATTATCATTATTATCATTATCATCATTATCATTATTATCATGATTATTATCATTTTTATCATTTTTATCATTATCATCACTATCATCACTATCATCATTAGTATCATTAGTATCATTAGTATTATTAGCATCATTAGCATCATTAGCATCATTATTATCATTATCATCATCATCATTATTATCATTATCATTATTATCATCATCATCATTCTGATCATCATCTTCATTATCATCCTTATCATCATTATCATCATTATCATCAATATCATCAATATCATCAATATCATCATTATCATTATTATCATCATTATCATCATTATCATCATTATCATCATTATCATTATTATCATTATTATCATTATCATTATTATCATCATCATCATTCATATCATCCTTATCATCATCATTATCATCATCATCCTTATCATCCTTATCATCCTTATCATCATTATCATCATTATCATCATCATCATTATCATCCTTATCATTATTATCATCATTATCATCATTATCATCATTATCATCTTTATCATCATTATCATCATTATCATTCATTGAAATCATTATCATTCTTATCATCTTCATTATCATAATTACCATTATCATCATCATTATCATCCCCATGATTATTTAAATTCTATCAGTATAACCATCATAATTATGGTCATATAAATGTTTACCATTATCATGAGATGTCGTTGTAACTTTCATGATTTTGTAGTTCATAATGATTTGATCAGCATTGTGATCATGATCATAATAAATCAGTATAATTATATCATGATCATAAGAATTAATACTGTAGTCGGCTTTTATATCAATATATATGACTTTCAAATAAGCTTTTTACAAATTACAAATTTACCAGCAAACAAGGAGAAGCTGTTAATAGACATTTTCTCTTTGTTTCCATGTTTATGTGTATCCATGCTGCGCAAAATCAAAAGTCGTCTTCAATGTATTGATATATACGACGAGGACTGTACCATGATTATGATAAAGGGTCAGGACAGTAAACGGACCTGGTTCTACTTCCCTCTGTTCTCCTTCTTTGAGCAGAATATAGACGGAAGGGTTCCCAACGAGTTCTCTCTCCCCTTCTCTCTCGAGCAGATCAAGAACCACATCACCAGGTTAATCAAAGTAGGGGGCAGCGAGGGTCTGGTAAGCAGGGGCGGCTTTTGATATTTTCCGGGGGGGTGGGGTTATCCCCCTCTTGGCAAAAAAAATTTTCCCCTGGATTGTTTGCAGGGAATTTGCTCAATTTTAATTAAAACCATGAGCAGCGTAAGGGTGGAAAATGTTTTAGCAAAATTTGGACCATTATAAAAATGTTTTTTTTAAAATATATTCTTAAAAATTAAAATTAAAGGGCTAGAAAGTTCCTGCTCTCTACTATTTTTTTTTAATGGGGGGTGTCCCCCCTTTAGCCGCCTCTGCTGGTAAGGAGTTCGGGATGGCAGTCTTAAAGCAAATACTAAAAAAAAACAAGACATAAGACTGGTTTCATTTAATCTTTAATTCCTTCTTTTTTATAGTGCTTTGGGCTGCAAAATCTTAAATAGATTTTTGCGATCGCATTTAAGACCCGGTTTTTTAGGTTTTCCTGTCGGTTCTCTGAAATCTCTGAAAGTATCTCTGGTAGACCAAGAACTAAATCAAGATCTAAATCCACTTAAAGGGACTGTAGACAAAATCTCAAGCGACTCCATATTTTGTAATTTTGCATGTCCGATTCACATGAATACTTTTTTCAAGTTTGGTTTCTCTATCGAAGTGACATCTATTATATAAGGTCTACAGGGTACCTTTGTGAATATGATAATTAAGCGATGAATCCTTCAAAATAATAGCGGGGAAGATGAATTCAATAAAATATACCTCCTTCGCAGTAAATAAACATTTGAGTTTTATCTACTTTATCGTGTTGTAAGAAATCATAAAGTCGAAATCTGAAAGACCCGGAATTAATTGACAGTTAATCAGGCGACTTTACATATATCTCTGGCAATTTTAAATACTCAAACAAGGCAGACCACATTTTGGAAATGGCAGGACTAGGGCAATTCTGTGACATCTTTTCATCAATGATATTTGTAAAATTAGATTGTAAAGTCGTCTGATTAACTGTATATTAATTCCGGGTCTGTCTGATCTGCTTGGCAATTTACTCAACGTACAAAACGTACACAACGGAAACATCTTACACAATCCTCTAAATACAAAAAAATATATAAAATGATATTTTTAGAATAAAAAAATTGTTTCAAATTTTCATACTATGATAGTAATAATAACCTGTAAACCGTTAATAACAATTTAATTCGTAGAATAAAAGGCTAAGCGCTTCATCATTAAAAAAACCTGTCAAATGCTGAACTTTATAAAACAGCTGGCAAAGTAAGCTTGAAATTTATGTAAAACTGCCTGTATGCTTTTAACTAAATTTATTTAGATTACTTAAAACTAATTACTCTTCATGTCTATCGTACATTGTCAATTGCCTTGAAAAATGTGACCAAAGCATCAAAAACCAAAATAAATAATCTCTCTGAAGATTTAGATAAGTACGCACACATCAGTAATCAAATCTGGAATATAGACTTATATCAAATGGCCTACTCAGTACTGATCTCTTAGAAACAAATGCTTGTCGTACATTGTCTGCATTTTAGTAATGTTAGATGGGGGGGGGGGGGAATTGGGTATATTATTTTATAAAGATTTATTCACACATTAAGATATAAATACATATATAAATGGTGTAATTTAAATTTCTTTAAATAATTTGCTTTTAGAATAATGTTCAATGTGATATATTGTTTTTTAAATTAAAGTTTTTATCAAATTAAAGTAAAGATAGTTTCAATAAACATTAAATTTTTTTATCTTTTATCCACTCCTGTGCTTTTAAAGATGTAGGCTGATTGTTTTATTTTCAATACTATGAATAAAATCAGAATTTTAGTGATTTCAAATTGTTCATAATTAAATTTTTACCATTTTATTTTATAAAAGGCCATATTCTGAATTGCCTATTATAATAAAACATGAATTGTCGTCTTATGTTTGCTGATTCGACCTTTATAAATTCTTTTAGATACTTTACCTGTTGTTTGTAAAAAATGTTTTAAAAATTCATTATTTTCAGTGTTTTAGAATACAAAAATTATAGATAAATACCATGTTCAGATTTCAAATTTTTTTATTAAATACCATTTATAGAGTTATAAAGAAAAAATCTTTGTAATTTTGTGTTTTTTCAGATTAAGATGTTCCCCTGCAGTACACAGGAATATAATTAAAATAAATAGAATTTAGTGCAGAAGTGGTGTTAGGGGTAATTTAATTAAATTGAGAAATAGTATTGAAAATAAAAAATCGGACGATAGCGGACAAGGAAGGAGTTCCAATAATTTTGTAATTTTTAGGGGGGGGGGAAATAATTTTCTTATACACATTGGGGTATAAAAACCGTGATGTATTTTTAAATATTTTAGTCATTTTTCAAGAAGAAACTGAAGCTAAGTTCATTATTGATTATATATATTTATGAATTATGATTTAACAGATGGTAATGATTTGTTTTCGCATTTTTTATTTTATAAAAGTTCTTTTTTAAATTCTCAATTACGGCATAAAATGACTTGATTCTTGAAAGTGGTTTAAGTGACTAACAAATCATTCCTTTATAAAAAGCTGGATTTTTGGCATGCAACAATTTTCATTTAATCCCTCAGTTTTTAAAATAATAATAAATAATAAAATTAATTTGTTATTTTTTACAAAAGAATGTCATTTACTCTCAGACAAATTAGAATTAATGAGAATTCAATGATAAACCCTTGGGCTACGCCCTCGGGTTTATTATTGAATCCCTCGGGGGTTTAAATTTCCATTGATTCTAATTTGTCAGAGAGTAAATGATACATTGAAGTTTCGATAAAATCAAAATTATACAAGAGAAGAAAACACCTGTGCAGTGTTTCTTTTTTTACTTCTCCTGCGTCACTCTTTCGACCATCTTTTTCATTTTCTCCGCAATGCTCGTTTAAATATAATGTTGAAATATTAAATATCATTAATCTTGTCTTCTATGGGTAGTACCATAGAGGTTTTTTGAGTTAGCATTTAAATTCAATAGTCTTCAGCATTAGTACCCACTTTACTATCTCATTCTTTGTTTATAACCCTATACTATCTAGTGGTGTTGAAGACTGTTTATAACCCTCTACTATCTAGTGGTGTTGAAGACTGTTTATAACCCTATACTATCTAGTGGTGTTGAAGACTGTTTATAACCCTATACTATCTAGTGGTGTTGAAGACTGTTTATAACCCTATACTATCTAGTGGTGTTGAAGACTGTTTATAACCCTATACTATCTAGTGGTGTTGAAGACTGTTTATAACCCTATACTATCTAGTGGTGTTGAAGACTGTATATAACCCTATACTATCTAGTGGTGTTGAAGACTGTTTATAACCCTATACTATCTAGTGGTGTTGAAGACTGTTTGATAGAATTGGAAGAATTAAAGAAATTAGACCTAAGCAGGAAACACGCTTTTTCTTCTCATACAGTGGAAACCAAAAAACTGTGGACCAGGAAAACGTCTGCAGACTCCTAACCTATAATTTTGAATAGACTAATTAACATAAAACACATTAGTTCTGCATATGGTTTCCAGAGAAAAAAAAACTTTCGTAAAAATTGTGAAATTTTTTTTCGCATTAACTTTTTCGCGTGATTTCACATTTTTTCGGGAAAATGAGTTTTGAGAAAAGGAAGCGAAACCGATGCGGATCTTCGAAAAAAACCCTAAGTTCTGCAGTGTAGACTTATTTCATATTTTACTTAATGCATGATGAGTTGATTTCAAAGCATCTTCTTAAACTATTGCTTGATATAAACATAAGGATATACAAGTACGGTAAATTGAATCTCGTCTTTCCGTTCCAAAATTTTATTAGTCCAAACCAAGCTTTCTTTTGAGCATTCTATAATGCATTACATTTTTTTTATATTTGTTTTTTCCTTAAAAAAAACATTTTTTTACATTTTTACGTATGAAGAAAATGCACAAAAAACGTGTTCTTTGAAAAGAGATCAGTTCTTGGAGTTTAAAGATGCATTTGAAATATTTGACAGGTAATAATCGTAATTTAAAAAAAGATTGATTTTTTTAAAACATACATTTTTAGACAGCGGTTATTTAACGTTCTTATACCTAGGGACGGGGACGGCACTATTGACACAAAAGAGTTGAGCACTGTTCTAAGGTTAGGGCTTTTTTTAATATCTTGCCAAATAAAATGGTGTGATTGAGTTTGTGTAAGTTGTATGTAATATGCAGGTTACTTGTGAGACTATAGCCGGTCAAACTTTAAGGAAACACAAAAATAAATTTATAAAATCAGGAATTGGAAATGCTGTAAATTCGTACCGGCCCATCGTTCTATAAAGTGATTAATGCATGTTTTTTTTTCTCTCTTCAGTCTTTATGATATTTTTGTTACATTAAAATGATCCATCCTAGAATGTAAAACGTACATATAGCTTAGAGACGTCTAAAATTGTCTTTTATCCATTGTTAGGTCCATGGGCTACAACCCTACAGATTATGAACTAAAGGTAAAAACGAATTTAATTTATTAAACTATTGTGTACTTTATCACTCATGGTCACTATATATTTAATTTCATTATAGACGTAGCATAAAGTAATCATCTTGCTATAATATCAACTCAGCTGTATATAAAAGCAAGGTGCTGTAAAATTCAGAGGTTCCAAGATTTTCTCAAAAACAATTGAATGTTTTTTATATCTGTTTTGTTATGAAGCTTATTTTATCTAGAAAAAAAAGTTCATTGCAAGACAAGTACACAAACATTTCCCTAAATTAATAACTGCTTTAAACACTATTTTTATAAGAAGTAGATGTATTTCCTTGTCTAGGAGATAAGAGAGGAAGTAGATATATTTCCTTGTCTATGAGATAAACGATGAAGTGGATATATTTCCTTGTCTAGGAGATGAGAGAGGAAGTGGATATATTTCCTTGTCTAGGAGATAAGAGAGGAAGTGTATATATTTCCTTGTTAGAGGAAGCGGATATATTTCCTTGTCTAGGAGATGAGAGAGGAAGCGGATATATTTCCGTGTCTAGGAGATGAGAGAGGAAGAGGATATATTTCCTTTTCTAGGAGATGAGAGAGGAAGTGGATGTATTTCCTTGTCTAGGAGATAAGAGAAGAAGCGGATATATTTCCTTGTCTAGGAGATAAGAGAAGAAGCGGATATATTTCCTTGTCTAGGAGATATAAGAGGAAGTGCATGTATTTCCTTGTCTTGTAGATAAGAAAGGAAATGGATGTATTTCTTTGTCTAGGAGATGAGAGAGAAAGCGGACATATTTCCTTGTCTAGGATATAAGAGAGGAAGTGGATATATTTCCTTGTCTAGGAGATAGGAGAGGAAGTGGATATATTTCCTTGTCTAGGAGATGAGAGAGGAAGTGGATATATTTCCTTGTCTTGTAGATAAGAAAGGAAATGGATGTATTTCTTTGTCTAGGAGATGAGAGAGAAAGCGGACATATTTCCTTGTCTAGGAAATAAGAGAGGAAGTGGATATATTTCCTTGTCTAGGAGATAGGAGAGGAAGTGGATATATTTCCTTGTCTAGGAGATGAGAGAGGAAGTGGATATATTTCCTTGTCTAGGAGATGAGAGAGGAAGCGGATATATTTCCTTGTCTAGGAGATAAGAGAGGAAGCGGATATATTTCCTTGTCTAGGAGATGAGAGAGGAAGCGGATATATTTCCTTGTCTAGGAGATAAGAGAGGAAGTAAATATATTTCCTTGTCTAGGAGATAAAAGAGGAAGTAGATATATTTCCTTGTCTAGGAGATAGGAGAGGAAGTGGATATATTTCCTTGTCTAGGAGATGAGAGAGGAAGTGGATATATTTTCTTGTCTAGGAGATGAGAGAGGAAGCGGATATAGATAAAAGTGGAACTATTGAGTTTGCAGAGTTTATTATCATGATGGCAAGGTGAACCTTATTTTATCTTGTCTTCGTTATTTTTACAATTTTTTTAGAAACCAATATTTTTTCATATAGCACGGATATATCATTCATTCTTGATTAGATATTAAGTATTGTGAATCAGACAGGCCAATTTACAAAATAGAAAAAAATTTCCTTTTATATGTAAGAGGATAAAGTAAAGAATTAAAAATATTTTACTCAGTTTGCCTGCATACTTTACAGTGCTAATTTGTAGATTAAATAAGACTTGAAATAAAATCTAGACTTTTGTTTCCATTTTTTTTTTTGAAAATTTGCAATTATAATACAGGGTGTCCCACGAAACATGGCAGTTGGTGAATAGTTTTGAATGTCTTCTTCAATATACTGTATTATATATAAAAGACTTTTTGCAGTTTAATTCGTTTAAAAAATCTTTTGCTCAAATATATTTTACTTCGAAGTTAATTTTATGATAATTTGACTCCTATATGATATTTTATTATTGTCTTTGGTATTAAACATACTTAACAAATTATGAAAGAAAACATTTTAAACTATTTACCAACTGTCATGTTTCGCGGAACACCCTGTAATTGTATATCTATTTTGTGTTATTTATGTGCTCTTTATTTCTTTTTAAAAAACAATATTTAATTATTGCAACTACTAAAAAGTAACGTTTGTTATCTATTCAACAATGTACACTTTTTTTTCAGACGTATCAAGGATGTTCCTTCGGATGAGGAGTTAAGGAGCAAATTATTTAATCAAAAAGAAAATGTTGGGTTTAAAACAAAGTTGAACTCAAGTGCTAAGTTTACATTTTACATGAGGCCGAATTTAAAGATTTTGAACCGCGCCTAGACGCTTTTCAAACATGAGCCACAGTTTAAATATGGTTGGTTCATTTTGACAATTTAAGCAGTATTTTGAGTGCCAGCGCGTAACTTGAACTAATTGGTGGTTCATTAACATGGTTCAAATTAATTAAATTTGGCCTATGTTTTCGTAGATTTCTCAGCTTTCTTCTTCGCCAAATCATTTGATTTATCTGAAAAAGAACATGACCTTTATATCTAAAGAGTTTTATGTTTTCAATAAAGTCTCATCCGCAAAGGGTATCATTAAATATAATTTTAACTTTTTACAAATTTCTAGCCTCCAGACAACGGCATATGTGAATTTGAAGGCGGGTAAAATCATTTGAGTAAGGAATATAAATTTAATTAGGGAAATAGTCTAATTTTCAACTAATTTTTTTATTAAAGATTAAATCTTGTTTAGGGATGCTTTTGCAGGTTATATATGTTCTTTTGTATAATTATCTTTAACTTACAATTTAATTAAAGTACACCAAGTACACTAAGTACATTAAGTTACATCAAATACATCAAGTACACAAAGAACACCATTTTTTATGTGTTTCTTTTCCTAACTTATTCTATTTAGTTTTTGACAAAGATAGGAATGGCTATGTATCAGCAAAAGAAATAAAAAAGGTGATTAGAGTTTGTATTTTTAAAATGTTTTACAGATATTTCAGATAGTGTTTAGGCTTTTTAGAGTACTAACCTTCGCTGTATTGTGTTAAAAAGTGTTCCTAATAAGTACAAAGTCCGTAAATTGGGGGGAAGGGGTCGTCAATAAAGCGTGTTTCTATAAAATGTCGTTTTTTTACTCAAAGGTAGGCCAAATATTTTAAATCACAATTTTATTTTTACATTTTATGCCAAAGAATAGAATGAATTGCGTATTTTTAATAATATAATTAAGGATTTTTCTAAATAAATTATATAAAAGGATGTTTTAATTTAGGAAAAGGCATTGAGTACATTTCGAGTACATTTTAAAGATTAAAACGGCATTTTAGAGCAAAATGTTTCAGCGACGACACTGCAAATCATGGACATTGTACCTAGTTTAACAATTTATAGTAAAATAAAACGCCTGTGTAGTGGGTGAAAAAGTAACTAATATCTTTAAAAATGGGACCGAGCACATTTTCGAACATTATGCCTAATTTTGAAGGTTAAAACGGCATTTTATTGAAAGATACAATGATATTTATTATAGGCTAACAAGCCTGAATACACGTTTTTCAGAGACACTGTATGTTTATAAAATTAGGTATATGTGCACATAAGTATAGGAAAGACATATTTTTTTGCTTACTATATACATGAATTAGTTCAATAAGACTGAAAACGACAAATTAGTCGAGAAAAAAAGTGCATTTTTATCTGATTGACTTATGGCCATGGAGTTTCATCTGTAGTTTTACTTTTTATCGTAAATTTGGTGTTGTTTATTATTTTATCGTAAATTTGGTGTTGTTTTTTATNTGTTTATTATTTTGTTTATTATTTTGAATTTATCACAAGTTCTTACCAAGACATTTCTCAGTTTATATAAGATCTGAATTTGTTTTATAGGTTTTAACTTTTCTGGGTGTGGATATCAGTTTAGAGGTAAAAAGTACACCAATAAATGATGATTCCATTAACATGTTAAAGGAAGTGCCTGGCTAATGGCTAGACAATAGACATATAGTAGAGCTGAGAATGCAGTATTGTAGAATCATTTTTTAGGATTCATTTGAGACAACTTATCAGACATTTTTACGGTTCAAATTTTTTCAGCAAGAGCGCAAATTCAATCTTAAAAATCCCTATTTTGGAGGGATGATTTTGAGAATCGGTTTTATAAAAAATTTGAAATAACGACGACGAAAAATGTATCAACAATTCTACAGTAAACTAATTAAATGTTTAGGAACACATTTCTCAGTAGAAATTTTTTAATAAACCAATGTTGGAATCAATTATTTCTTTTTCATCATTAAATGGAATTTCTTATTCTTTATGAATTTCTTTTTGAAATTTATATTGAATTTCTTTATGAATTTGTTTGCAGATTTATTCAAATGTCGTCTTTTCAATAAAAATTCCAGGAAATCTACAGAAAATGTTTTTGAACAGTGATACATTTCAGAAACCAATAACTGAATTACTTATTTTCGATGAAATTTAGTTAATTTTTATTTTCTCAACCTGTTCCTAAACAACTAATTAGTTCACTGTAGAGTTTTTGTTACATTTTTCGTGGTCGTCATTGAATAATTTTAAAAACCGATTCTAAAGATTGAAGTTGCGCTCTTGCTGAAAAAATATGCACAGTAAAAACGTCTGATAGGTATCAGATCAACTTCCATGTCTAGTCAGACGTACACTCCTTTTGAATATTTTTCAATATTTTTTGTTACATCAGTTTACACTTTCAAAAAGCGAATAGCATTCTAAAAGTCCAGCGACACCTTTGTCGGAAAATATGACGTCATCATAGAGTTTTTCCTCGTTGCTACACTTCAAAAAAAAAGTTAAAAACTTGTTTAGATCAATCTTTTTTCAGGAAGTTGAGGAAATGGTGGAAGAAGCGGATGTAAACAATGACGGACAGGTTTTTTCATTTTGCAGTACAATCGGATTGTTTATTTTGCAGTACAATATTGTAGTTTATTTTGCAGTACAATATCGTAGTTTATTTTGCTGTACATTTTGATTGTTTATTTTGCAGTACATCTTATTTGTTTATTTTTCTGTACAATCAAAATGTTTATTTTGCAGTACTATTGGAATGTTTATTTTAAAGAACAATCAGATTGTTTATTATAGAGTAGAATCTGATTACTTATTTTGCAGTACAAACTGACTTTTTATTGGATGAACAGCCAGATTGTTTAATTGCTGTACTATTTAGTTGTTTTTCTTACTTTACAACCTGATAAATATTATAATATGCAGTTCAGTTATATCGTTTATTTTCCAGTACAATTTAAGTGTGTATTTTTTATTCTAAAATTTCTAAAAAACATGAATCCTACTTTTTTGTCAAATATTCTGCTCAAATATTTTCTAAAAATTAAGAATGTAGTTCGTAAAAATAACCTTTGATTCCTGTAAAATTTTCTGCACTTTTTGTAAATATTTCTATTTATCAAAACGTCAAATGTGATAATACACTTCTGGTATATTTTCAAATTAGTGAACAATCCCTTTAAAATTGTATTTTTCAGGTCAAATTAGTGAACAGTCCCTTTAAAATTGTATTTTTCAGGTCAAATTAGTGAACAGTCCCTTAAATTTGTATTTTTCAGGTCAAATTAGTGAACAGTCCATTAAACTTGTATTTTTCAGGTCAAATTAGTGGACAATCCCTTTAAAGTTGTATTTTTCAGGTCAAATTAGTGGACAGTCCCTTTATAGTTGTATTTTTCAGGTCAAATTAGTGGACAGTCCCTTCAAAGTTGTATTTTTCAGGTCAAATTAGTGGACAGTCCCTTTAAAGTTGTATTTTTCAGGTGGACTTTTCAGAATTTCGAGTAATGATGACGGCACAGTAAATATAACATTGTGATAGTAAAATGTTAGTTACTCAATAAAATAGATAATTTAGAGATTTGGAGCAAAATGTCAAATCTTCAAGTTTATATTTACAGATTCTATTTTGATAATTTTCCATTATTTCTCACACCATGCAGTTGTACTGCCCAGTCTGGACTACCCAGCGGAAAGCCGACGTTTTAAGCAACAAAAGAAAAGTATTTTCTACAACCTATAAAGTAAATAGTAAAAAATGCAGAAGCTAGATATTTATATAAATAAAGTTGTAATCTCTGTTTGGGTCTCTCTGTGTCTGTATGTCTGTTTGTTTGTTTGTCCAATCATAACCCCGGAACCCCTGGACCGATTTGTCTCAAATGTTGTTTGTGGAACTCGTGAGACCCACGGGAATGTTTTTAGCTTGATTTTAATATTCTAAGTTCTAAATATTTTAAGTTCTAAGCAGATCAACTTTGATAGCGAAAATTTATTTTCCTGGTAAAATTGTTTAAGTACCTGATGAATATATATAATATATATAAATACATGCAAAGACAAACTAAAATATATATAATATATATATTCATATAATATAAAGGATTTATGCATAGATAAACTTAAATAACAGATTGGTCAAAAGATGTCGTCTTTTCAAGATTTATGAGGCAGAAAATCCAAGCTTAGTCGGCGTAGAACAGGCTCTCTCTCTGTAGAGACAATGTGAGAAAATTCTGACTACAATTGACGGAATTTTGTATCCGCTATCCTCCACTTCCGACCTACGCCAAATCCACTATACTACACATCCGACCTACTAACACGTGGTTTTACAGCTTCTAGATAGACTTGTGGCCGCAGCGCTCGGCCCAGAAATTGTTCCTACCTTACCCAACCCTCAAATAATACAAAAAATAAAGAGCTGGCGTAGGTCCGATACTGCAATTATAGGTCGGAAAGTTAGTAGGTCAGAAGTTCAGTAGGGGGGATGTTGCCTATAGACGATGTAACATTACCCGGAATTTTGCATATCATTATTTTATTGGAGCTCAATGTTTAATATGAAAAAAATGCTTTGATAGAGGTGAGTATAAAACCAAATAAAGATTAAAGTCCAGCGGAAAAAAAGAGGGTACTAAATTGTTATGGACTAAAAAATTAGTATTATGATTAACCATCTTTAAAACGTATAATTATAAAAAGAAAGTTAAATTCTTTTAAACCTATTTATTTGCTACAACTTCAGACTAGGGGTTGAAGCCGTATTTTCAAGTAGCTCTCCATTTATAGTGGGACATGCTGATTCACAAAGATACCCTAAAAACCAGGTTTAGAATGCCGGAGATATTCTTATTTTTTTTTATGAAAACTGAAATTTTTCAATCGTGATCTCTCTAAAAAGAGATATTTGCCCAAAATTAAATTAGTTACTTTTTCATCTTGATTCGAAATATCTTCATTTTCTCCAATTGAACAAGATTTTTAGTCTTTTCACAAGAAGTGTGAGATTTATCACGGATAAAGGAATCTGGGAAATATTTAATGATTTATTAAATAAAAGAGAGAAGACAAGAATTGAAGCATCATCATAAAGTTTCACTCTTACACAGGGTGACCACAAAAAAGGCCTGGTTTAATGGAAGGGGGGGGGGTTGAAGGGGAAGGGTACATTCCATCTAAAGAATATATCGATAGATGAGTTATTTTGATTTTTTGTCACAGTTTTTTGGGTATTACAAGTAATACATTGTTTATAATGGTTTAGTTGTGTGTCGGTGTTAGCAGGGAGAAGGTTTAATATATCTCTCTGCTCTGTGTACGTACAGTTAACTCAAGTATACCAGGAGTAAAGGAGATCATGAGGGAAAGTGTAATCTGTAGTTATTTTATTACAGGTGACATTTTAAACAAGGATGATAATAGATTTATAAATCAGAGCATTTCGCGCACCATGAGTAATAATCTTTAAAACGGAACTTTTGTTTAGATATTGTTTATCGTAAACGCTTGATCATGATATCAAATTAGGGCACTTTTAAAATCGAGTATTAATGTTCGATCCCACAATAAAAAATATCCCTGCAGTGCATGCGTATGACGGGATATCGAAGAGGAGTTAATTTGATGTAAATCAATACTTTCACAACACACTCACGTTATGACTTTATGTTCATTGTTCATTTTGATCGAGATCATATATAAATGAAAAAATGTTGAAAGGGTCTGTAACCGTATTGCCAAGTGACCTTCCATGCAAAGATGGCAATGCCCGATTCACATCAGTACCCTTTCAACCTTTATCCGATCAAATTTGATAGATATTGACGTTTTTTATGGTTAAAATTGTATTCCAATGCGAAAATTACTTTTCCAGTCAATCAATATAAAAAGGATTTAAATATATTGCTAGTTGACAATATTTACAACATTATTTTATTATATTAGATTTCATTTTATAAGTTGAAAAATTTTAATCTCCCAAAATTGAAATTTTACCTTTCTTTTTTGTGTCAATAACAAAACCCTAGTTTTATAATTAGAACAAAGTATTCTCGTTGTTTTTTTAAAACAAAGTCTCTAATTAATGGAATTGGTTTCTAGGACTGACAGTACTGAATGTTTCTGCCATCAGCATACAGCCCAGTACAGAACAGCTGCATAGCAACATAACAGATATCTTTAATCAAACCATTGATTTAGACCGATTGAATTTAATATCAGAAAGGAAATACTATGATTACTCAATTGAGATCGAAAACAATGTTTCTACTGACACTCCCACACACATTACTGATGAAATGGGAAACGGGATTGCCAATAAAGATTTGTACGATGAAAATTTCGAAATTGGAGAAACATTTAAAAACATGAAAGAACCGAACATTCAAGACCTGAATAATACTTACATTAACGATTTTTCAATGAAAGAGAATACAAATGTTAGCCAGGACAACAGCCATGAAGTCGGTTCAGAAACTAATAAATTTACAAAAACTAAGAAAAATGAATCTGCAAAAAATGCCATGGATAAGAAACACAAATATTTAAAAGCTCTTGAAAATTCTTTTGAACACTCCGACAATCAAATTGTTCAAACATTAAATGATAAAGCTACCCAGGAATCTGACGCTGAACCCGAAAACGTTTATGATACTGAAATAATAGAGAAAGATGTGATAACTGTGATCCCAAAGACTAGTGTTGATGAAGCTTTAGAGAACTATATCAGGCAAATATATTCAAATTCGTTTTAATGCTAATTTTTTCGTTAAATTTCACTTATTATTCATCGGGGACCATTTCAAACGTCCAAATTATAATTTGGCAGAGTCACAGGGTTACCCACAAAGTATGAAACTGTAAAGACGACCTAAATTCACTAAAATATGACGATTCCAATGTTAAAATAAGTCTTCTGCCCAAAATATAGCTTTTTAATGGCTTATTCCATGATTTGGAAAGGAAAGAAATAGTTTATAGTTGCAGAGAAGTATAAATATTAGAATCTCGACACAGTATAAATTGCGTACATTTGTCTCTGAAGTCTCATCCTTTGTGGGTAACCCTGACATATCAAAGAGAGGGTGTAGATTTCGATGCTCTGTAACAGTTTTCCCCAATTGAGCAAATTTAACCCTTAAAAGATTTGGTAAATATTTGATTTTCAAAAAAAATTTGGATGGTTTCCTTATAAATAAGCTTGGAGTCTCCGATGCCATGTTTTGTATCTCTGAAAATATGCTGAAAAGAATGTGAGGGATGGCAAAAGAAGTGAGTCTTTGCCACAAACTCTGATTTTCTAATCCCTGTATCTTTACAACACATTGTCTTAGACCATAAATAGATGAATTCTGTTAGATCCAGAAAGTTTTACATATGTCAGGATATACACAGTCAGGTAGGAAAGATATAGGAATTAGGAAATTTGAGTTTGTGACAAAGACTCAATGTGCGAAGGTTTGTGCTGTATGTATAAAATGCCTTTTTTTTGACGACGAAATGTGCACTCTTCAGAAGGTGGGTGGTGAGGATAGTAAAGGTCGGAGAGTGTTATGAATGCCAGAAACAAGCTTAAAACATGTGATTTAATGGGAATCGATACCCATATTGTATACCATGCGCATAGAATAAACACAGAGTGGGGATGGGGTCTCTTTAAAAAACAGACGGTAGTTGGGGTAGTAAGGGTAGTTGCCATCAGATTCAACTCCAAGGGTGGGAGTGGGGTCTCTCTGAAATATAGACGGTAGTTGGGGTAGTAAGGGTAGTTGCCATCAGATTCACCTGCAAGGGTGGGGGTGGGGTCTCTCTGAAATATAGACGGTAGTTGGGGTAGTAAGGGTAGTT